CAACAGGCAATGGGAATCTGAATAACAGCTGGGGTTCTCTCTCGAAAATAATTCAATATAACATATTTCCTTTAAAAAAAATACCGCGTTTCAGTTCAAAGCCCGTAGATCGATTTTCTGTGATTATCGAGCACACTTAGCTAGCTTTGAAATCTTCAGAACGGATGTCCTTTGAAATATTCAAATCAACATTTTCTCCTTAACCCTTACACATTTCCTTGCAATTAAGTTACAAGAATTCGGTGTTATATCATGATTATAACCCCTAACTGATAAATTTGAGTAATCTCATTACCTGTTCGTTGGATAGTGTGTGGATTTTGTAGGGAGAAGTTACACTTCTGGTAGGTAAAGGGTTAACAGATAGGTTCCATGGTTCCGTGCATCCATTCAGTCATAGATCACAGATCACAGATGTCGTTAAAATATTATTATTCAAGACGTTGCCCTTTGAAGTAAATTTCACCGAAATTGTATTACATCTCAGGGAAATTTGGCCTACCTGCCTTTGTCACAGCATAATTTCATTGCTTATAACCGCTGGATTCATCATTCCATTCACCACGGGTTCATGCAGTGACGGCAAGTGTCCCGTTTCATTCCATTTCACTATTGGAAGGAATATGGTAGATGGGCACGCTCTGCTTGATCACGTGTTTGCAACTGTCTCTGTGACCAGAGTGATCGATTGTTTCAGCGCATGTCAAACCAACTGTCGTTGTATTTCGTTCAACTTCCTGACACATTCCAACCAAGATAACTGTCAACTGAATGAAGAAAACCGACACCTGAAGCCTGGTGCTTTAATTCCCATGGAAGGCTCTCAGTACTACGATCTGGATATCATCTATCATACGGGGGTAAAATCAGTATCATTCAAATTATTATGATTTTAAGCATGAAAATCACATTTGTGCATGTATCACGACAAAAGTTACCAAACCAAACGTTCATCTGAACGATTAGGACTTCGTCACTTGTTTCAGATGATGACTCTCACTTAGGCTAAAACAAAAGTGCTTTCCGAGAGAGTTATAGTCAAAACTATCAATCAACGCTATAGCTCATGTATTTTCCTCACAACAGTACCTAATTTTACGTCAACTGAAGAACCAAACTACCAGTTATAGTTCACTGTATATTGTATAGCAAATTGGTATCAAGTTACAGCTTGTTTAGATGATTCCTCCCGTTGAATTTGAAATGCCTCATTAGGGATCGGTCTCATTATTTTTCGCCTGAGGGTGGGAATGGGAGGGGGAGGAGAAGGAAGATCAGAGGATTTCAACTATATCTCAATAAAATTAACTCGACCCCTTCCTCCCCCTCCGAGGCTCTGTATTATTCTGATGACCCCCCCCCCTATGGGCAGTTCATTTTTTGTAGTCCCCCTTTTATACTCTATTAACGACGACTGATCCCCCCTCCGTTTCTTCCATGATAAAAAGTGACCCAACCCCCTTACCTTCCAGGCATGTACTCAGTGTTTCAAAAGATGCTGCAGGGCTCAGCCGTGTTTTAATGGAGGAACATGTCGAGAAAATTGTCACGTGACTGGAAGACGATTCTTGTGTCATTGTCCTGCACGTTTTATTGGCAATGTATGTGAGAAAGGTATGTTACTAATGTAGTTAAATATGATATCATAGGGCCGGTTCTGGCACGAGGTCTAACCCAAACCACGGTTTTACGCAATCAGAGGGCTTCAGGCTTTCTCCATAAGAGGGTCGATTTAATTATATAGATTTCCTTCCGCTGTTAGTTGGCGGGCCCACTAAACACTCTCCACCAAAAAAAATGAATGTTCACATAAAAGGTTCAGCTAAATATGGATTGTTTAGGACACAGTTTTGTAAAACAACTGCTAAACCTTGTTTACTCAGAAATCAGATCATAGTGTTTCACTGAGTGAATTGAGCTTAGAGTGACTTTTGTCTACTATAGTGATAAAGCAAGGTAGCCGAAAGTAATTCGAATTTTTGATCAACCAGTTACTGGAGGAATCGTCAATTCAAATCTCGTGACTGAAAGAAAAATGGGATAAATATATAAAATAAGTGAAAAGGGAGAGAGCAATAGTAAAAAATCTGAATAATATGTAAGGAATAACAGTTACTAGAAACTTGCGGGGTGGAAAAGATGAATCTAATCCCAGTTCCGCATTGAGTTTTTACTGATTACCTCGCAAACATTTTGGTGTTACAATCACCGATTCATTATGTTTCCTTACAGTATTAAACACTACTTTGACGCCTAATCTATTTAATTAAGACTGTCAGGATGCCCTGGGTATGGAAAGCGGTGATATTTCTGATGCACAACTCAGTGCCTCTACAGAACTGGCTCCAGAAAAAGGAGCAAAGCACAGCAGGCTACAATCCAAGTGGAATGGAGTATCTGGGGGAGGCTGGGTAACTAAAATATCTGACATCAACCAATGGCTACAGATCGATCTACTGGATCAGCATTCTTATGTTGTAACAAAGATAGCTACACAGGGCAGAAATTATTATAGTCGCATTGTGACCAAATATAAACTTCAGTACAGTGACGATGGAGTTACCTTCCTCTATTACAGAGAAGAAGGCCAAGTTACTGACAAGGTACGAGTTAGTAAAGCAGCAGCAGACTTATCTAATCTCATAAAAATACAGTTGTAAGTCTTCTAACTTAGCATGATTTTAAATACAACCAGGTATGCTATCAAATAGTTTTTTTTTTTTTTTTTTTTTACCATGAGTGGTTTTAAAGAATTTCTTTAACCCAGTTACTTAGTAAAGAATCATAGCCGAGTAGCTTAAGTTAAATAACAAGAAAAGACAAGTTTTCTTTTCCACGAATATTTCTCTTCCAAACAACAGGTTTTTCCTGGAAACACAGACAGGGATACTGTAGTGTCACATGAACTAATTCCACCAATCAGAGCACGCTATATTCGTTTTCGACCGATAGAGTGGTCTGACTACATAGGAATGAGGGTGGAGCTCTACGGCTGTCGCGGTAACGTATTACTGTACAGTATTTAAAAAATTCTGGCTTAAGGTCATAATTTTAAGAGATGCGAAAATTTCTTTGAAAAATCAGGGGTCACGCAAACTCTTCATCCGATCTCGAAATCTCGTCAGCCTTTCTGATGAGTCACAAATCTTCGAGTTATCGTTGGGAGAAAGTATAGTCGCTGTCGTTTGCAAGAATTGGAGTGCTAAAGTCGACTCAACATTTTGATAAGCTTACAAGGGTGGTAGCTATAGTACGGACTTTTATAGCTGAATTTGTTTAGTCTCGTCATCGCACTTATAAACTGGTGTCCCCGTGTCTCCGTAGTTTTTTACTTTACTATTCGCCTGTCCTGATCTCGCTTGAGATTTCCTGAAGAAGGAAGCCATTTCTAATATCATGATCAACATTAAGTCTGTTGCATCTTTTATTCCCAACAGATAACTGAACGGAAAGTGGATTACCAAAGGCACGTGTATCAAGACTGAATGTGGTCTTAAATGGCTTCCTAGAGTGTTGGAAAAGTTCAGCAACTGACTAAGAAGACTGCATACCCTTCGGCATGAAACAAAAAAAATCTCCCCTTAGAGCGGTAAAAATTACTAATAACTTGATATTGCTAAAAAAAAACATACTTAGACTACGAGCAGTCCCTCAGTCGCGTGGCCAATGTACAATAAAAACTAGTTTACATGTACATCATTAAATTAACCATCTAATTAGCAAAACCTTAAATAGTAAATGATAGAGTAACACTGAAAAAGTGAATAAATAAGTAAATTGTGGATGAACAATTAGATAGATAAATAAATAAATAACTAAGGAAATAAAAAGTACATACTTTAAGGGACTTGTCAGAAATTAGCAGGGGGGGAGGGGGGGTGGGAATTTTAAATTTGGGTTCGGAAATTAGGTGACCCATCCCTGCAATGGGAGTGAAATTTGCTAACCCTCCCCTTGAGCTTGGCCTAAAATATCATGACCCTCCCCCTCTTGTATAAATGATAAAATCTAGTTCTTGCAATACACTAGGGTGCGTCAGTATTATGAAAACTCAAAATATATTTCTAATCTGTTCTTTGTCATGCTACATACATACATTTTCGATGACAGCATTAAGAGTCCGACTGATCACTCGACTCTCCTATTTCTCCCAATACAAAGTCTTCATCACTAGAACAAGTGGGTAATGCCTCATCCCCTTCATCTACCTCACATTCATCATGATCATCCACCTCTTCCAAATAAAGAACTTCCTTTTTCTTCTGTGGGTGAACCTCTACATGATCACGGGCATATATTTGCATGACCCTCCCCCTTTTAACTGCCCATTTTTCATGACCCCTCCCTTTTCTGAGGCTCAAAAAGTTGTGACCCCCCCTCTGTTTCCACCCCCCCTCCCCCCTGCTAATTTCTGACAAGTCCCTAAGTAGAATTATTCCAAATATATAGTAGTGAGATGCTTTGCAGTGGTAAAGTACTTAAGGATAGTTGGTTCCATCTACAATAGACCTTGGATAAAAAAAATTTGTAGACATTGCAGTTTCACTGAATATGGCGATGAGGAGTATAATTTGGAAGCCGAGATGCCCTGTTTAGAGGGAAAACCTTAGGAGGAAGCGGATGACCCTTAGACCTTGCTGGATCTTGTAGAACATGGTTAATTAAGACAGTAATCTACGTTGTTCTAGGTCCCCCCCCCCCCCCGAGTTAATTAATCATATGAGTAACATGACTTAATCTAGAATAATCGTGTAAGACAAATCTAGCTGCCCTATGTTGAACCATATCAATCTTGTTAATATTACGTTTAGTTTTAATTAAGGGTTCCATGCAGAACTGGTATATTATAACTGCGGGCGGACAAGACTAACATAGGCTTTCGATTTCACATCTGTATTGCAGTCACCTAGGACTCTTCTTAGAAGGCCCAGTGTTTCATTGGCCTTGCTACAAATGAGGTCACAGTGTTTTCCAATCGAGTTTCTGAATTAAAGTGATGCCTTGATATTTGGAGATGGTCTGGTCATTCATTAAATAATCGTGACAAAAAGGAACAGTTTTGCTAGTTATTCCCAAGTGATAGCATTTAGTGATATTAAAGATCATTTGCCAAAGGTCTCCCATTTTCAAAAGTTATCTAAGTTTATTGGAGTGCAAAATGATTTTGTTGTGTATTGATTTCTCTATAGATGACGATGTCGTCTGCGAAAAGGCGCACGTGGGCGCTGTTATCTGTAATGTCGTTGATATAGAGTAGAAATAATATTGAGCCCAGAACTGACCCCTGGGGAACTCCAGAGACAACTGGTGTGGGGCTAAGAGTGTGTTCCATCGATCGATACCACTTGGGTGCGGTCGGTGACTAAGGCTTTGATCTAGTCTAATGATCTGTCCCGAATACCATTGCAGTTCAGTTTAGATAATAAGCATTGGTGGGGAACGGAGTCAAAAGCCTTCTCGAAATCAAGAAGGATCACATCGGTCTGAGTGCGGTGATTGATGCTCTTTACCCAGTCATTGATGGCTGAAATAAGCTGGGTTTCACAAGAAAATTTTTGTCTAAAGCCATGTTGGTGATTAATAATGATATCTTCGTGGATAAATGTTTGGAAATATGACTTCGCATTATATGCTCCATAATCGTACAACCTGCACATGTAAGAGAAATGGGGCGGTAGTTAGATGGATTTGATCTTACATCTTTTTTGTGTGTAGTAGTAAATAATGCCTTGGACCAACCAGATGGTGGTTTGGTGGAAGATGGAAAAACCTTTTGTTTTTGTGTGAGAGAATTTGTGGTGTATCAAGATAACGTCCCAACAAGATAGCCTGCAAGGTAGGCGTAATTTTGACGAGCGAGTGCTCATATGTATTTAACAAAAATTATGACCGTCATCTTTGATTTTAATGACAGCGGAAGACTGGGGAGAGAAAGAAATTTGTATTAAGGAGTCGGTCGACGGTCAAAAATAAGTAGAGGGGTGGGTCGTCCTCCCCCCCTCCTTCCCCCCACCGTTCACTCTGACACCAAATCAAACATGGCCGATAGGATAAACGATCGCGAGCTTATAACGATAGCTCGCCCTGATGAGACGCTTGCACTGCAGGCTACCCAATAAGATAGTTATCTTGGTATTCGTTACCTGCTTGTTGGACAGTGCATTAATTAACCCTTTGACCCGTCAGTGACTAGCATTTGACTTTTCTTTACCGTCCCACCCCTGAAAGTTAACATTAAGGTCGAGAGAATAAAGGAAATGATCACCTACTAAAGAAGCTCTTAAAAAAAAAAAAAAAAAATTCTTGTCAGCTCCTTAGGAAATATCATAAAGAAATGTACAGTACAGACCATATTGTAGTAGAATCGATTGAGAGGATTGCAAATTGTTATGGTCATCGAAGGAGGAGATTCGTTATTCATCTTGTAATGAGAGTGGAAAAAAAATCTGAGTCCTCTCAATTTCTTGATCGATGCTGACTGACTGAGAGACAAAGAAGTCTATGGCATGTTAGGCTGTTAATAGATTCATATGTGAAATGCGTTCAGCATTCTGCTGAGATCAATTATGTCTAAACTGTGGAGTAAGTAAATAGAGAGATGGAAGACTTCAATTTCAATCCACTTTTTAAGAAAATCGTGCTTACGCGTAGCAGCAGTATTTTTAACTAGTATAGTACACTAGATTATACATTTCAACATTTACATCCGCATTTTAACCCCACACTTCTAGTCTAACTCCATTTCTTGGTAAAATTCAATTCGTCGAGAGTGTGCTAACTCAGCTACTGCAAAATATGACGATATCAACAATTCTTAGCTCGTCAGTGCTTCATGAAGATTTTAAAAAACATCTCTTTAGCTTTATAAGACTAATTTGGAAATGGTAGTTGATAGGTATTCAATGTTTTAAATGACTAACTTCATGTAAGGAGCACCGGTGCACGCGACAAAGAAATCTGTCAACTAAATGATGCAGTAATGCAAAGAGCCACTTCAAAAAGAATTCTGACACACTCATCAGAATTGGACGCAGTTACTTTTACAAGTACTTGTGAAATTGATCACCCTTAGGCCTCTTGTAGAGATTTGTAGGCAAGAAACTTCACCTAATCAGCATCTAAGGAGACGGGCGATTACAGACTTTAACAGATCATTACTATGGCACAAAATACTTTTTCAGATGGTTTCTTACAACAAGACTACAGTGTAAGCTACGATGACCTTGAGCCAATGTCGTATTTCTTTTCCAGCTAAAGAGGGGTACAAAGAACCGCGCTGGCCTGGTACCAGTTTTTACAAATCACCAGATGAACTTCTTTTCAACTGCAGAGCTTTCTTGACATTCCGCGCATGCTCGCTGATTCTCCTAGCTTGTTTTGCACCCGGGGTATTCGAGTCAATCTGCTTTTCTTTCAAAGAGTCACCACAGGACGACTGTTTTGTGGGCAGTGATGTCCTCTCAGATCCCTCTACTATGGAATAACCTTTGAGAGGTGTGCTGCCATTAAACGAATAAGGAACATCAATAAACGGAGTGTGAAAGAATTTAGAAAAAGTGACACTCCTTTCAAATACTCACCCGTTATTTTCATTGACATCTTTAGAATTTTCTGTTCTTAATGACAACGCCTTATATAGCTCTTCTGTGTTCGGGATTTCCACGGGTCCGTCCCGCGGGATATTAGGAGTGCCTCTGGTTTCGGATGAGATAAGACCTCTTGGTGCAGGTGAAAACGACACGGGGCTGACTTGAAGCCGAGGGCCATCTGGTGCTAAAGAGAAATTATCATTTAAACCTACATAAAACTGACTACTGAAGAATTAGAGCAAAGGAAAAACTTTGACGAACAGGTTACACTGAAATACGTCAACTACCCTTCGAACCAGCTGCAAGATGCACAGCCGACTGTTTATATTAGGCCATTTCCCTAGTCAAACTAAGAGACAAACTGAAACAGACATACAGACACAGTCAGACAGACAGAGACAGACAGAGTCAGACAGAGGAACAGACTGACAGGTGCACAGAATGATGGGAAGATAGATGTACAGCCAGACGGTTAACAAAACCAAAAATACTGCTATGCCATGGTGAAACAATTAGCACTCAAAGTTCATATAAAGCCTTACATTTTGATTTTCTTCCCCCAAGTGACTGATTTCTTAACGGGGTCAAAAGCTGTTGCTTGTAAAATGAAGCTCGTTCCTCTTCAAACTTCTTTCTCTGAAAAATTAAAATAATAATTATCGCTAAAAATAATATAAAGGAATCAGTGCACTGTGTACAAGTATATGCATTCTAAGAATATTCTCCATTCTCCATCACCTTTGGCTTGTAAAAATATTCGTGTTGGTGTTCCAATATCCCAGCCTTTTGTTTGGCCACTGAATATGCAGCAACCTTCTTACAAAGTTAGCACATACAGTAGTACTATTTCTCTCTAAAATAAGGGTTGCTGCCATCCTTTGGAAATGACTATAAGCGTTTATAGAGAAATCTCTACAAATTTGATTTTTTTATGCCTGTCTATGTAAATCAAAGGAATTTTGTTTGCTTATTGTATTTCCACTTGGTTATCACCTCATGCCCAAGTTTTACAGCAGCATCTGTCAGCTGTTTCCTCTCATTCTCTAACGCTACTCTTCGCTCAGCAAAGAACTGCTTGTCAGATTCAAATTTTTCTTGTTCCTCATACAACTGTGAGTCAACCTGTTACAAGAAGGAAGAAAACTTTTATGAAATATCATTCAAGAGCTGTCTTTAAAATAGCAATAAAACCATAATTTTCTTTTATTAATGAAAAAGAGCTGAATCACATTACGGCTGAATAATAATTCAAAATACTTACCAAAAGAGTTGAATCTTTTGAGGGAGAATCAACCTTTGACTGCAAGGACTAAAGGAAAAAATTGTGTCAGCTATGAGTATACAGTAAGTTAGATCACAAAGAAAAGGTCTATTGACTTTCTTAAAAGTTCTCAGGTTATTGGGTCAGTAAGGTTAAGTCTGTACCCAACCCAAGAGGCCCATCCAGCCAGAGCTAATTCCAGTTTCCTTAGCATGAAGCAACTAGAAGTATTTCTACTCCCCCCTGGAAACAATGCTTGTCCATTGCAAGGTTACCCCCCCCCCCCCCCCCAAAAAAAAAAAAAAAAAACAAAAAAATTTCATCAGGCTTCCCTGACAATTCATCAGCACCTATCAATACTCCTAGGTAGAGAGATGAAAGTAATGAGTGTTTTGCCCAAGAACAACACAATTTCAGGTCTTAATCTTTTACCCCCTGTGAGTGACTAAGAGGGAATTTCTCCTTACATTATCGATACACTATCAAGCAATACCAAATTCTCCAAATTGACATCATAAGAATTGTATGACAGACAGCAAAGAGAATCACTAATGAGATCTTGGGAGTTAAAGGGTCAAACCAGGACATCTTGGCCCAGAGTCCAGTGCGCAAACCATTGGACCATTGTATCTCCCAGGTTAAACAATACATTATAAGCAACCATTTTCACATACTTCTATAAGTTGTTCCTGTTGTTCCACAACATGTCTGTAATTCTCCAACTGCCTTTCCAACCTTGAAATTTCCTCTGCTTTAGGGGAAGAGGGTTCTAGTGCATAAAGCAGATTTAAAGTAAACTAAGACAAAATTCTTCACTTTATTCTTGGGAGTCTACAAATGTCTATTCTTACCATTTGAAGAGCCTTTGTTTGCTTCCTCTAACCTTGACTTCAGCAATCTCCATTTTTCTCTTAAACTACTTTCAATTCCTGTAAAAGACATTGTGCTCTGATTTATTTAAAATAAAGCACCTTCACTAAGCCCCTTCACTCCCAAGATTTCAAAGTCAATTATCCTTCATGTCTGTTAACATTTTTTTTTCTTACACTGAAAGAATTATTTATTCTTATCATCTTGCTGTTTGAGAATGTACTGACACTGCAGGGAGAAGTTACCCATTGGTTGCTCTTAGGAATGGATGGGTTAATAAATGTCTTTATATTTGAAGACATAAATCAAACTTTTGACAGTTTTCATAGGTGACCCATGTAAGAAAACTATAATCTTAAACGTAATCAATACATACTTTACAGAAGAAAATGCAGGTACAAAGTAAGTGCTGATGCAAAACATTCCCAAAATTTTGATACTAAATGGACTGACATACCCTCTCTAACCATGTCATATGGCATATTGAAATGTCCTGTTGATAATTCCTCAACTGATCCAGACTCACTGATTTCACCAACCTATAAATGTTAATGAAAACAAATAAGGTTGAATCTTAGAGAGCAACATGTCAGTGGTGGCTCTGAGAGGATTCCTTTTAGAGAAGGGGCAGGACCCAGGTACTGGTACCAGAACAAGGGGACAGCAGATTCACATCCTTTACTCCCAACACTGTTTTCAAATACAACAACTTTATTTCAAGTTATCTTTTCTATATATGCCTGCCTTTTCTCCAGTGGTTACCTATATCACTAAGTCTACATGTAACAAAAAAAAAGTTTGTTTGCCTGTAGGAAGCATAACAAGGCATAACTAAATTATACACCATACTGTAAAAAGTAAATATTGTCAGTGGTAGATGTAAATGAAAAATTCTTGCAAACAGTTTGTACATTTAAATTAAATACCAACCTCTGTGTTGCTTTCATAATCTTCATTCTGCTGATTCAGCAATTTTATTAACTCAGCCTGCATGCTTTTAAGGGTTTCCCTCATATCATTATTTTCCACCATGAGTTCCTGAATTTGAATGTTAACACAAATTATTTTAGTATTTAACTGCAAATCCTTATTGACCCTTTACACCCAAACATTGGTATCAACATTCTCCATACCATTCTCTATACATTTCCTAAGGTGCTGACAAGGAGAATTTGTTTTACAATCATGAGTTTCTTCAGTTGGTGATTATTTTCTTTATTCTCCTTACCTTAATGTTTGATTGAATTACGGTCAACTCGCCGACGCCAACTCGCCGACATATAAAATCGAGTAGAGACGTCGGCGAGTTGGTCGTCAATCCAATACAACTTATTAGAAGTTAAACATACAGAAAAGTAAACGATATTTAGTAAAAAAACACTGGTGAACATTGGTGAACATCAAACAGAAGCTTAAACATTGGTGAACATTGGTGAACATCACCAATGACTAGAACAGCTTAAGGCGCGAATGAGTTATTGTGCGACAACAACGCCGTAAAGACTCATCATGTCAATCGCTCAGATTTTTTAAGAAAACATGTTCACCAATGTTCACCGATGTTTAAGCTTCTGTTTGATGTTCACCAATGTTCACCAGTGTTTTTTACTAAATATCGTTTACTTTTCTGTATGTTTAACTTCTAATAAGTTGGATTGGATTGACGACCAACTCGCCGACGTCTCTACTCGATTTTATACGTCGGCGAGTTGGCGTCGGCGAGTTGGTCCGTCGGCGAGTTGACTGGTTACCGTTTGATTCAGGGGTGATGTTGTGAGGAGAAATTAGATGCTTGTCACTCTTAGGGGTTAAAGGGTTAATGGAACATTCAGCAACAGTGTACAAGCACATTGAAAAAGCTCCATTATGTTCTTTTCCTCAAGAGTGGAGCAGACACTATAAATTACATGTACACTTTCTCTTAGTTTGGAAGAAAACATACATCAGACTACATAAAGATATACCTTTTCTCTTTCTTCATAATTTGTGATGAGCATTCTATACATTTCTTCCTCATTTCTGTCAAAAAGAAAGTGAAAAAAGTACTCATTGTAAGATAAGAAAAAAATAAATGTGCAGAGAATTTTCATAACCATGTAGAAAACTACACATAAGTCCTACAGTTCCTATGATGTTATTTTTCTTTGAAAATAGGTCACTTTTTTGCAAGCCTTTTACCATGTTTGTAGAGGTTACAACCCTCAGACACAAATCTTGCCCATAGTTAATCACCAGCTTGGAATGAATTGGTATGAGTAGATAATTCTTAAATATTGCATCTTCATTTTTAGCAACTATTTTTAACAATCTTAACCAATTTTTTGATATATCAGTCTGCAACTAATTTTAAAAAATTTTAACCTTCATTAGGTAATAGTGTTTTGATTGAATTGAATAGTATTTAACTTTTGAGGACCACAAGTTTATCAGTTATTTTAATCACTGTTGAGTGTTACCCTCAAAACATCAAGTCTCTTACTCACACCATACTTTCTTACTAATACCTGCACATGCACATGTATGTATCTCACATGAATATTCTCATATACAGCTGTAAGTCATGCAAAATACATACATGTATCATGTAGATGCATGTCTGAGTATTTTCACCTCAGTCTACAAACATGGTAAATTGCTTACAAAAGAAAAGTTTCCTAATTTCAAAGACAAAAAAAACAATATATGACCTGTATGAAATTTAAATATCAAATTGTTTCAAAAATCCTCCCTACTTTGCAGATCCAGTCTTCCACATTGCACGTTGTGCTCCAGCAGGTCTGTTTATTAAATTTAAGATGTCCAAGCCAACTTTCTTTTCCTGGTTTTTGTCTGTAAGGAGTTGATGAATCCTTTCCTTGAGTTTACTTAGTTCTCTTTCTTTTTTTCTTGTCTCATGGTCAAACTGTTTTTGCAAGTGAAGTGAATTAGCTCTGGTTTTCTTTAACTGTAAAATAAATAAACAAATACATGCAGTAAGATAATTACAGCAACTTGCAGAATAAACTCTTGATTCATAATCTGATGTAACTCTTAACCCTTCAACTCCTATGACCTGATTGTTAATTCTCCCCTCTAGCTGCTACACATTTCCTTGTAAATAAGTTACAAGAATTTGGTGTTAGATCAAGATAACAACTTCTACCTGATAAGTTTGAATATTCTCATGACCTGTTTGCTGAATAATGTTTAGATTTTATGGGGAGAAGTTACATATTAATCACTTCTGGGAGTCAAAGGGTTAATAATGTTAATAAGTAACAGAAGGTTATGTCTAATACATTCATATGACCATACAATAAATTGTACACAATGAAACTGCAAGAGGAGTAAAAAGGTAAAAAGGAATTCTCTGATAAAAAATTTTCTTACAAGCAAACAAAGAGTTTTTAGCTCTTTGTCTAAACCCTATTGATGATCTTTTTTTTTTTTTTTTTTATCTATCCCTTCATAATAGCAATAACATCTAGCAAGGAATGTTCGAGTGTAATCTACATGTACAGACTAATACATGTTTCACACCAAATTACAGTTTTAAATTTAGAATTAAAAAAAAATAGTCATGTAGCATTCACTGGTCGGAAGAGGTGACATTAATCCAGTTCTTAGTTTGAAAGGCAGTTAGAAGTTCAACTAACAGCTTATCTCATCCTGTAACCAGGATGAAAATCACTTTCAGCCATACCAGGTTCTTAATAACTGGGAAAATCATTATCACAAGCAGATTTGAAAATCATGAAGAAAATGTTTGGCATGTACAGTGTATGGATTGCTTACTTCCTCTCTCTCTGATTTAAGATCCTCTTTTGCCTTTACAAGTTTTCCTTGAAGTTGTCTTTCTCTCTCATTTCTGACAGCAATCTCTCTCTGGGCTGACTCTAGCTGCTCCTAGACAAAGAAACAAACAAAATTTGAAGCACATGAACAGGTCAATTGGAAATTATGTAAAACTATTAAGTTGCTTAATGAATAAATTAGAGCAAAAAGTATCTCCCTGATCAGATTTCAAACATGTTATATATCTACAGCTAAAGTACCATATCTTTATAATAAATTAAAAAAAAAAAAGAAAATTAAAATAAAAGCAAGGACTATTCAAGAACAACAATAAAGATATAAATTTCAAATGATTTTCATGAAATTCAACAGCTTATCATAAATGCTAATTATCTATAACTGTTTGAAATATTCTAATTACAATAATTGAAAACAATCAAATGATTTTTGCACATCAATTTATATTTAGACCTTTATATCCCATGAGTGACCACAACAGAATTTCTTCTTACAATACAATACAAAATCAAGCAGACAAGTGATGAGAATAATGAAAAATATCAATTTACAGATTATTAGTTGATTCAATACCAAGTTCCCTAAACTAACATCATCAGAATTGCACAGCAGAGAATCGATTACAAATGAGAATTTTGGAGTGAAAGGGTTAATTAAGATGATTATCATAACAATACCAATTCAATGTGCATGCATTTAACGTTGTACCTTAAGCCTTTTCTGCGTCTGTACAAGGTGCTCATTATCACACTCAGATCGAAGAATCCTTAAAAAAAGGAGGCATATTGGAGGAAAGTTGCATACTGTACAATGATACCAAATAATCTGGTATATAAATAAAATGGGGCATGACCCACTGAACACATCTAAATGCACAACATAAATTCTAATATAGGGTCAGCATTGGACTCACTTCTGCTCAAGATCTGTTAGTTGTTTTATGTTTCTTTGTTGCTGTTGCAAGAGTTCATAGGTGCTGTTTACCAATTTTACAATATCAAATGTATCTGGAGGTCCATGTCCATTGCGAGAAGGTGTAAATAGTGAGGAAAAGCCAAGAACACTCAGTTCCTAGAGAAAGATAAAAACACATTTTGACATTGTTAGTGATATGACTGAACAGTTGCATAGTAACTAAGAATTTATTTGCTAACCCTTTAGTTCCCATGAGTGACCAAGACAGAATTTCTCCTTACAATATCATACAATATCAAGCAGACAAGTAAAAGGAAAAAAAGAAAAACATCAACAAGAGGATTTCTCAGTGATCCAATCCCAAATTCTCCACACTAACATCATAGAATTGTACAAGTGGTACAGTAGACAGTGAGAAAAATTATTTATGAGATTTTGGGAGCAAACGGGTGAAACTTGCATGAAAAGTTATAAAAAAATTTGAACTTGTTTCCTGAAAAAAAAAGACTAGCAGTACAATGTATGGGTCAAAATATTGCTTAGATGCATGACAGTGACTCAATATCAAGAGACAAACAATTAAATATTTAACCATCTGTATAATTATTAAGGAAAACAAACACATATTCATTGCTTGACCACACAATACTTGTCTCTAGCTTACCCTCTATACAACACATTTTGCAAATTTTTCAAGCACTGATTGCATAATTGATCTATACCCTTCATAAGTTATGGGTTAAACCATTTCTCTTTGACGCCAACTTAAAAGCTAATTTTTTTACCTTATCCATGTGCAGCAAGAAACATATTCAGTGAGAGGTATTTCATGCATGACACGTCAACAAATATTTCAACGTTGCCATGTACATGTGCAGCCTATAAGAGGCTTCAAGGTTTGTCTGTTTTTTTTTCTCCCCCACTGCTAACCACATGTATGATGCAATTATGAAAAAAGTGAAATAACATAGATTCAAAGTGAAGTATTAATTGGAATAAAATTTTTGTAACTAATATTGCTGCTTTGAATTTCTAATATTGCTGTCAAACAAAGATAGGTCAGTTGTTAAATTGCTCTCAAGAGAGACAACCATGCATAAACAGACAGCACTTTCCTTCAATTTCTCAAACTAGGAATATAAATATATCCTGTCTCACATACTTAATCACATTACAATTCAAAGGTATTTGCAAGCTACAAAAGTTTTTGTTCTTGTATCTCAGAAGTAATATTTTTAAATCTCTCACAATATTCTGACTTGTGTATGTAATTCATGCATTGGACACGAATAATAAAAAAAATTAACATTAACAAAAATTTTAAATTTGACATTTAAATGAGTGCACTCATCTGTATGTCGCAAAACAATTAAAAAGACATCTTCAGGCTGAGGTTAGACTGAGTAAGGGGAAAAATTCATTTTATCTTGAATCAATCCATAACAGCTTCAGTATACACTTGTATTGTCTGTTGGACACATTTCAAAATTTTAAAACTTAATCATTTGAAAAACAAATAGAAATGTTTGCTGCTTTCGGTAAATTACTGAGAAGCCTGATAATCTTAGATCTTGACACAAGACATCCATTTCGTTTTCAAAACCTTTTCAGCTAACCAAATCCAAAGTTTGCTTCAGAGAGCTGAAACTTAAGGTTTTTCAAAGACTTCAGACCAAAATATTGACATCTCATTAGTTATTTAAATGTTTGCTGAAGGAAACAAAAGGAGATGATCACAATTCAAGCTGAGAAAAAAACAAGAAATGAAACATTTAAAATCATCCTAATCTTTTAATTTTGCCTTTTTAAAATTTAACCACAAAAACTACGCCAGAGAAACATGTAATGGCACGAATTGTGGTCGCTAAGAATAAACAAATATCATCTGATATGGTACTTTGCTTCAAGAACTGGGAAATTTAATCTTACCGAGGTAAAACATACGCATGGGTGAAATACAAGAAAAAGCGAAAAAACAACTAAAATAAAAAGTACGAAATCTTGTAAGATAAATGTTTTGTGGAACCTTGAGAACAATTTAGCGGTAACCCTTTGCCAATTGACGTCTTAATATCATTCACATAATGAAAGAAAACTTAGAAAGCGTACAATAGAAGCAATAATGAAGCTAATGTATATGGACTGAATGCGAAACCACAACACGAAAACAAGAATCGAAGGTACAACTCACGCCATCAACAAACCTGGTTCAAATAGGCGATACACTGATCGATGTTATCTCGTCTACAGAACTGCTTATCAGCTGTACTAAACACAGGTGAGATTGGCGAAGGAGTGAGCCTCATATCTCCAAAGTCTACCTCTCTTTCCGGGCTTGAATGCCGCGATGAATGTGCCGTGTAACGGTTTACAAAATCTCCCCAGTCTTGGAGTTTTTCAGTCATTCTCCTTAACTGCGTACATGGGCATCAAGGCGTTGATCGCAAGCCTCCTGCCGGAACCGGATCGCCAAGCTCTGTTTTCTCGTTTGTGGGCTTTACTTGAGCATTAACAAGCGGCGAATGAGCTAAAATTAGAATACTTATCGGAGGGATAAATAATTCAAACTGACCACTTTTTGACACATCCGGCAAAATTCAACCAGGCGTTCACGCATGTCATGTTTAAACTGACCCTAGATATAGCAGACTCAGCCTTTTTCGTGCTTGAAGTCTCCTCTGGGTTTAGTTGCGAAGAGAAATCGAGAAACGAGTTAAAAAGTTCAATGTCATGCACAGATGAAGCGAAAACTGTTGGATTGTAATGGGCTCAGCTCCAGAATCTTTATTTCATTATATATTATCTCATTAACAATACGCCAATGACACAACAAACGGAAATCTGTTTTTTCTCACTCTTTTGAAGTCCTAAATGGATCAACGATCTAACCACGATGCATTTAGACACGCAAGGTGATATTTGCCAGTTTTTCGGGAAAATAATACAAAAAGCCAAATTCTGAGAAAAAACGTGAGTCGAGGGCTCCTAAGAGAACCGTGCGTGAATTTCTCTTTCTGGCGCGCCAATCAGTCCATTTTTGGAGATGAAAAAGGATAAGGTTTTCCGGCAATCAGAGGAATCAAAGTTTTCTAGCATAAAAAAGGTATGATGGCGAGAGCATCGACATAAGAAACACCTTAAAGAGATGAAACCGATTTGATGTTGTTTCCTTGCATTGTAATCTTGTTGAAGGGGAGAGGGCCCGCTTCACTCAAATACGTCTACTCAACATGTGAAGAAGAAGTAAATTCTTATGGAACAGAAAAACAAATTTTACAAAAATATACTGACCTATAAAACGGGAAAAGTAAATGCGAAGATACCACGAGACAAAAAAATTCTTTTCAAATGCCGAGGGAACATACAAGACACGAAACAATCGTAGGGAAAAGGTTTACATCGACGCAAAATAAAACACACTGGTAGATGGGGCGTGAAACATGATGTATGTAGGGCGGCGTAAGGGCCCGAGCGCACTAGGCTGACAAATTTTATTTGGTTAAACCAAAATTTGTTTCCGCCAAAATTAAAATTTGTTCATTGTGGGTGCACTGAAAATCAGCAAAATGTTTGTTAAGCACAAAGTGTCAATCACGTGAATGTACAAATTGAGCGGTACTTGGACCTGGAGATTCAGCTTAAACGTAACCTTGAGAGCCATAATAATTGTTTTCTGAGTATCCTGAGTACTGATCGTCGTGCACCTTCCCGAGGTACAAATCTTCTACCTTCATTGTTTAATTGCCTTGTAAAAATAAAATATTTTGGCGGCCATAGCCTGGCGTTTTCCTTTAAATCTTGGCTTATAAACTGAAAAATCTCTCAGATTTTACGCCCGACAAAAGTTTTCCTGCTCAGAGGCAGGACGACGGCGCCTTTGGAGATTGGTAAGGCTAGACAAAATTTGGTAGGAAAAAGATCACCGGGTGCGCTTGTCTCACGATACTGTTGACCGATTTTTTCGCAAAATACAGGAAAATTAGCCTAAATGCGCCAGGGCAGGAGCTCCTGGCCGGGGCCTTAATTTACATTAAGTGCGAAAATAATGGTGTAGAAATGATGCGTGGAAAAACGAAAAGAATAAGTGCAAATTAATGGGTGTGGAAATATAACACCTGTTTTGTGAAATCTGAAAAAAAAGTTACACATTCGCCAGAACACTCGTAATATTATACCCTGATAGTTGATAAAATCAACCATACGTGTAGCACATGACCTCGCTCGCTCTGATCCGTCATCGCCGAGAAGACACACAAGCCCTTCTAAATCAATTGTTTCCGTTGGTATTGCGTGACGAGAAATAGTTAAAAGCACGGGACAGGAATCATCAAGAAAGTTCGAAATGTTTGGTTGAAGATTTCGTAATTTGTGGGTACGAAATCAAAAGCCTTTCATCAAAAGTAACCATTGAAAGATCCACTGGAATATCCTGAATTTTTTCAAGATGTTTCTGTTTGCTTTTTTAATGGTAATGTTTACATCTGGTAGTGCGTCGCTCGAGCTTTTCATCTCTCAAAAGCATGGCGTCGATAATTCCAGTTGCCTGCAACGAAACGCGAGCAAACCTTGTGGATCTCTCAGTTATGCACTTCAAATTTTAAACGAAAGTGCCTTTAATGAAGAAACAGTCTTTGTGTTTTCTATTGAAGACCGACGCTACAGTTTGCAAGAGAACGTTCAGGTTTTACAGCCTCGAATGGACAGATATATTTACATAACGTCTGGCAGTGTTTCTACAGTAGTACGTGGCCTTGATACATCAGCGATCACCATAGGGTTGCAAGAAGCAAAGGCCACATCTACTTTTAACATTCATGTGTCGAACATCGAGTTTGAACAATTCTCTCCCAATGTTGCGGCCGTCGTTATGGTTTGGCAGTCCAACAACATCTCTTTCAACAACTGTGAATTCCGAAACAACAGTCGATCTGGTTTAAACGCATTTGACAGCGGTGTTAAAATAGAGGAATGTTCCTTTGTCAATAACACCTCCAACATGCAAAAACTCAAGGAATTAGACAGTCGGGTAATCCCAACCTCCATGTCCGTCTCTGGAGGGGCAGGGTTTGTGTTTGAACAAGCAGTTGGTTTGACTCTTGTCATCCGAAACTCAAACTTCAGTGGTAACTCAGCTGCAGTGAACAAGTCAGAGAATTTTATTCCTCCCAGTCCATTGTCGCTTCTTCCTGGCTTGAACTTGATAGGTGGGGGATTGTTGATAGTGTTCAGGTCCAAGGCAAGTTCATGTAGCGCTCTAGTTGAGGACTCATCTTTTGATCGTAACCACGCGACGTTTGGAGGAGGATTATATTACGCCTCCTCTCAGTTTGCTGCAGGCAATTCAATGGAAATAAAAAGATCGAGCTTCTCGAAAAACCGCGCATCGCAAGGCGGAGGCGGTATAAGCCTCACTGTTTCGGATGCAGTATCCGGTAACGCAATCTGTGTCACGCAATGCATTATCAGTGAGAACTGGTCTAGAAGAGGTGGTGGTTTAAATGTATTTTTAATGAGTTACTTTGAACCATTTACTGAATCTCTGATGCAGTTTAAAAACGTTACCTTGGATGGAAACAGTGGCCGAGCTAGCGCTGCTGTTCGTCTTGATACAACTCTTCCTGTTGGATTTCCTATAAATGTTATACCAGAATTTATTGATTGCATAATACAGCATCACTGCGCAAATTACCTGACGTACACGAGCCCGTTTATGAGTCAAAGGGTGAGCGCAAAATTTACTGGACGCAATATCTTCAGAGAGAATCACGGTGCAGGAGCAATAGAGTACCAAGAGGGTCGAATTCTCGTGAATGGCTCACTAGAATTCGTAAAAAACTCAGGATCCTTTGGAGGGGCTGCTCTTTTAAGCTCCAGTCAGATTATTCTGCACCCGAGTAGTCAGATGATTTTCCTTCAGAATTATGCTAGTGGTATTGGCGGAGCAATTCTTGTACTTACGAGGTCGAAGTATGAATTTATTCATGAGTATAATCCGGATTGTTTTGTCACTTACAGCGAAGAGAAGACTGCACCATCCAAATGGAAGGTAAGATCTCCGAATATGTTGTCTCAAGAACTGTGGCTCTCACTGATTTGTTACATCTCAGCCAATACGATGCTAAGCCCTTACCAGCTCTGTCCTTCAAGTTACTGACTGTTTATAGAATCTTTTAGCGGACCTCGTTTTATGTGGTTGAGCTGCTAAACCAATTGATCCGGGCTTAGGACCAGCTGCATTGCATGCAATGCACTTCAGGCGTAGTTGCACGAAGTGAAACACACACCTGCCAGTGACCATTCTCACAGACGAGTACACTACAAAGATTAAACAAAGAATTTTCATTCAACTTTTCTCGATTTTTTCCCGCGATAATAGCCCACCTCGGAGCGTTTTTGAGCGCACACTATTTCCACCCATTAGCGAGCAAGCACAATTATGTGCAGAGCAATATCAGAAAATCAACGCGCACAAGTTAATCACAAAGATAACTAAACGAAAGGTTTTTTTTCTACTTCGAAAGGCAAAAGTGTCATTCGTAAAGAACAGTGCCAAAGTCAAAGGTGCCGCCGTGTACATTTCGACACTTAGTGCCTGTCTGTGGTACGAGAAGTATCCTTTTCATAGTGTCCAAGAAGCAATCCGTTGGAATAATACGTTTGAATATCACGATAATTTCATCCTTCCCGCTAAGGATTTTAAGGCATTAACTGGACCAGAGTATGACATAGCAACTGATACACACCACTTTCAAGTAGAAGGGAATCAAGACATGAATGTAGAGGTAGGTTAAGCTCAAGCCCTCCTCTCTCGTTTAACACTCTACACCCCAACATCAGAATGCACATTCTCCATACTGTTCTCCATTCATTTCTTAAGGTGCTAACAAGGAGAATTTGTTTAACAATCAAGAGCTTCTTTAGTTGGTGATCATTTCCTTTATTCTCATGACCTTAATGTATGATTCAGAAGTGATATTGTAGAGAGAAATTAGCTGTTAGTCACTCTTAGGGGTTAAAGAGTTAAAAGGCTTAAAGTATAAAATTTAGGCAAAACTTTGTCCCAACTTCAAAGCTGTGCGAAGACGAAATTCATTCCAGTCCACTCGTGTCCAATTTTGGACACTAGTGTCCGACTTTAGATACTAGTGTCCGTTCTTAGACATCAGTGTCCGATTAAAGATACTGGTGTCCGATTCCGGACTCTTGTGTCCGGCTCTCGCCTTCAAGACATGACCTGCTGCGCTATCAGTTCTATCCTTTTTTCTACAAACCGAAGCGCGTGCTTCCTGTAGGCCATGCTAAAGTCAGTAAGTGATGTTATTTTTCCTGCTTGTTCCAGCTCTCACCAGGCGAGGATGTGTCCCTTAATATCCAGGGTTACGATGAACTAAACCACACCATCTTCACCATTGCGACTTTGTCTGAAACGGGTATCTCTGACACTGAACCCAAACTTCAACTGGATAACGTCATGCATCTGTTGTCTCCCGTCACCAAGCAATCTTTACCGTTAACGTATCAGCTGGCCAACAAAACTGTATACAATGAGGTGAAAAATAAGTCAGTACATCATTTTCAGTTGGAAGACATCTTTTCAACACTCAAGAACAGATACATGTTTAACGTGACCGCAGTTCCTTGTAAACCAGGATTCAAGTTTGAAGGGACAAAGTGCAAATGTGACAAAACGATCGAGGGTGTGCAAAGGTGAAGGCTTTCCAGTGTTTGTGTTTTAACTAACTTTGAGTCCGTATTTGGGTTCAATCTGCGTATCTGAGCAAACCACGCACCTACCCCCCCCCTCCCACCCAACATTAACCCTAACTTGTTATCAGTTGACTGTGGTTGGGTCAAGGGAGGAGTAAGTGTGCAGTTGCCCAGATACTGACTTTGATATTCTCTGAAAGGCACTCATTACATGTTGGTTAGTTTGCTGATTGGATTCTCAAGCATTTCGGACCCCCGCTGTGACATGTGTTTAACGCTATAACTCCCACAAGTGATAAACAAATACCCTCCCTATGAAATTCACACTTTATCCAGGAATTAGGTATTGAGAATACTCAAACTTATCAGGAGGAAATTGTTATCTTGATCAAGCACCAAATTCTTGTAACTAATTTACAAGGAAATGTGTAGCAGCTAGAGGGGAGAATAACAATCAGATCTTGAGAGTGAAAGGGTTATAAAAGAATATTAACCTTTCCATGACTGACAATGTTCGCTTTTATAAACTTACCGACTTTGATAACAGATGTGATGACGGTGACGGTACAATCTACTTGAAAAAGGGGCAGTGGGGAGGAGAAGTCAATGGTCGCCTGGTAACGTACTTCTGTCCTCCTGATTACTGCCGCTGCGAGGGAGAAGGCGACTTGCCCGGATGTGTATTCAAACCGAAGTATGTCGATAATCAGTGTAATCATAACAGGACAGGGGTACTCTGTGGCAAATGTCAGCAAGGCCTTAGTGTCGGTCTAAGGTGAGTTCAAACCATATGCATTCTACTGGCCATATTCTATTCTTTACACCTGATTGGCTTATAGAAGGTGGTTAAATCTCGATATCTATGATCATTACTACGGAATTATTGTAAGTGTGGGTTGATCTTTTTATAGCTGAGAGAGCAAGCATACGAACTAACAGAAATGCATCTCGTTCAAGAGGAGTACCAATACTCCTTGTCGCTTCATGTTAGGAAAACAACGGTAAGGTCAGGCAACAATAATGAGCCCACAGTAATTTATCTTTGTATTTATCTTTCAGATCGGCAGAGTGTCTTCAGTGTGACGGTGCTTATTGGATTATTGTTATTTCCGTCATCGCCGTTGTCGTTGTATGCGTCATCATCATTATACTCAATCCCAGCCTGTCTAGCGAGCTTCGAGGACCCCTGTTTTTCTTCCAGGTCCTCCCTTTCATCTTCAAACCAAACAATCATGTCGGGCGGGTAGTAATTTCTGTCGGAAACATACTCAACTTTGGCGGCCCTTTCTTATACTTCACGCACATGTGTATTGTAAAAGGGATGACGAATTTGTTCGCTGTTGCCATGGGATACCTGATGCCGCTTGTTACTCTTCTCGTCTTTATTATATCTTACATTCTAAGCGCAAATTTTTACCTCGTGAGATTCAAACTTCGTAAACATTCGAGCCTACAGTCGTTCTGGCTGATGACACTTTTTGTGTACAACTATCTCGCCGTTACGTCTTTCATGTTGCTGCACTGCCCCAAAGTTGGTGGGAAATTGATTTTCTTTTACGATGGTAACGTGGAGTGCTTCCGAGGGGAACATTTAGCAATGACCGTAGTTGCATTCGTGGTTCTGTTTGGCTTCGTTATTTCCCTGCCTGTGGTTGTACTTATCTTGACTAAAGGTTATTGGAAGGTTGACCCACAGTATGTCAACACGCTTATCACTGGTCTGCGCCCGCAATGTAGATGGTGGTGGTCAGTGGATATGTTTCGGAGGTTGTTGTTGCTGTTCAGTTACTCGTTCATTCCTCATTGGTTCACAAAGCAGGTGAGTGTTATTAACAAAATATGATTTTTAAACGGAAATCTATTCATATTGAAGAAATCACGATGCTTTAATCGGACATTGAGGCACTACGCAACCATTTTTATTCGCATTTCTATTGGGAAACACTGAAAAAAAAAAAAAACGCGTTTGATATGACAATTGTCATGTTGCCACAAAAATGAAAGTTCTAGAACTAAAGTCTCAATCATAACGGAATACTTTTTCGGTCGTTGCAAGAATCGGGGTCTACTTTGTAAGCCGAATCCATAAATACATGGCCCTTAGAAAGCAGCACAATTTGAGGCGGATGGTAAATAACATGGAAAGTAACTAATCGTCTGCAACCTATTACAAGATAATTTGGATCTATTAACCCTTTAACTCCCATGAAGAACCAAGACAGAATTTCTCCTTACAATATCGATGCAATATCAACCAGATAAGTGATGAGAATAAAGTAAAAAACAATTTGGGGATAACTAGTTGATTTAATACTAAATTCTCTGAACGAACATTATAAGAATAGTACGGTTGACAGAAAGGAGAATTACAAATTTGATCTGGGAGTTAAAGGGTTAACTGAGTTGATAATGTGAATTGGCTACCATAAAGACGTAAATCTCGTTTCGAATCAGAGCGAAGGGCTAACGCTCGAAACGTTAGCGTAAAAAACTCTCGCTGTGATTACAGCAAACATAAAACGCTCAAATTAGTTTGTATGTTTGGTCATTTAGGTTGTCACGATTATCATTTGCGCCTTCATCCTGACTGTACACAGCATGTTTCAACCATACAGGAAGAAACAAGTCAATGTGGTGGAGTCGCTGTACCTTTATATCCTGTGTGTGATCGCCATTATGCAGATCTTACAGGAGTCCGATCATATCTCTGATATTGTTTGTTCCTTCCTGATGATAATTACCACAATGCATGCCGGGGGATTGACTTGTTATAAAGCTGTAGGGTTCTTCGAGAGGAGATTCAAGTGTTTATGTCCAAAACCGTGTCCCAGCCAACGCAGTTACGGTTCAATGGGGGAGACAGCTATCGACAGATCTATTGATGAAGCTCAGAGACGGCGCAAAGACATTTTTGACACGATATTTGATAAATCTGAAGATGATAACGGGAATTGATATGGCTGAAATTATTATCAAAATTTAAGTCTTTCCGGATTGAGTTATGGAAATAACATGAACCGTGCAGGTCTGGAGTAGGATTATATTATAAAAAACTGGTACGATGGATAAATCTTGAATTAGTTCTAAAAGTTTAGTGGGACTTTAACTCCGAGGTGTAAGGGAGGAATTTTCCCGAATGACATCAACGCAACTGATTCTTAACGCTTGAATTGAAAGAAATGCATGGCAGACAGAGGTGAGGCTTCTGTTCTTCATTGGCAGCCCACTGAAGATTCGAGGATCATATCTTCTTTTAACATCCCTAAGAGTGACAAGGTTCTAATTTCTCCTTACAATATCACCCCTGAATAAAATGTTTAAGTCATGAGGATAAAGGAAATGATCAGCAACAAAAGAAGCTTCTGATGGTTTTACAAATTCTCCTTGTTAGAACCAAGGAAATGTATAGAGAGCAGTATGGAGAATATGCATAATGATGTTAGGTTGTAAAGGGTTAACCTTTAACCCTTAGAGTGACTAGTTATTGAAGAACTCTCTCTAGATATTTTTTACACGGTTACGTTCAATTCAATGTTGATGGATGCTTTTCAACGCTCATACCGTTCGACCACATGGCATATGAAGTCATCAAAAAGTTTTTCCGTTCTCTTTGTTTTAAGTAGTTTGTTAAACATAGTCATGGGGGATCAATATCAGTATCTGGGCAACAGCGCACCTACCCCTCCCCTAACCCAACATTCGCCCTTCGGCAGTTCACAAGATACTGATATTGATCCGACATGGTTAGGGTATTATTCCTTTAACCCCTTGACCCCTAAAAGTGACCAGCATCAAATTTCTCATTACATTATCACCACAGAATCACACATTATGGTCAGAAGAATAAAGGAAATGATCACCAACTTAAGAAGCCCTTGACTGTTAAACCAATTCTCCTTACCAGCACGTAAGGAAACGTAAAGAACAGTATGGAGAATGTGTATACTGATGTTAGGGTGTAAAGGGTTAATTATCATCCGGAGTTCAAAGTAAAGGTCAAAGTATATTACATAACTTAATTCGTGTAAGAGTCAGAACAGAGAATTGATATTCCGATTAGGGGGGGGGGGGGTTAAAATTGAGCGTGTGAGAAATACTTTACCCTGAAGAGGAGGTAGTTACTCATTTTTAGATGCGAGTAAATAAAATACAACTTGTACTTTAATTCAAGTTAACTTCTAATGCTAAGTAAATTGAGATGAGATGCCTGATTGATATTCAGTGTCGCCCAGTGACATTGTGTCAATGGATCTAGTGGGATCATCGATCTTCTTTCGTATCGTTTTACGTTATGGATCGTTCTCACACTCTAGGACTTGACCAAAACTCATTGCATTCTGTAACATCTATGACATTTACATCTATGCTATGAAAGCCTCACATCGTACTTTATCCATAAAATTTACCCAGCTTCATTACTTTAGTACATTTGAAATGTCGAAAAGAACTGAAAGTATTACAGAAAATTAGTGCAACAGCCCTAAGGGCAAATATTTTAATTCTTTTGAACAGTTTTTACTTCACTTACTCAAGGGTCTTAATAAGGCTAACTAGAGTAATCGCCAACGGTCAAAACAAAATCCATGAAACCCTCATTTCAGGCGTCAGTTGGATATAAATCCACACCCATGAAAAGTTGAGGATCATATTCTGGTTAGCCTTTCAAATTAGGGACCATCATTATTTTTTTCCTGGGAGGGAAGGGTCGGACGATTTTTTAGGGAGATCACATGGTTTTCAAGGGGAATAAAGGGAAAATCAGTCGTCGCGAATAGAAGAGAAAGGGAGGACTATAAAAAATTGACTGACAATTCACTGCCATCATATGAACATTTCAGAGCCTCATGGAAGGGGATGGGGGATCAGGTAAATTTTAACTCTGACACAACCAAAATCCTCCGACCCAAACTCCCCCCCCCCTCCCCACCCCCAGGGGATGGATAATGACCGTTCCCTTAGGTAACGTGAAGATAATTTCAGCTCGGTCCTCCTGATTAGTGCGCAAACATCAGACAACCCTTGCAAGGTCCATAAACTTTCTTTAAGCGTGTTTAATCTGAATCTAGGAGGAAACAAAAGAAGGATAATGCATGAAATGTATTGCTTGGTTACATACAACCCTAGTTGGGATCACAAAAATATGTACTCAGTTGCTTTTCAACACTAATACTGTTCGCCTATATAACAAACGCAGTCGTCAAAACCTTCCTTTCTTTTTGTTTGAAGTAGTTTACTAATCATAGACTTGGGTAATATATCCTTCTATTAAGAACTTGTTATCAAAGTCGCCAAGTTCCCAATTGTTGTTGACGAAAGACAGCACTAGAGCGCGCTGAGACAAAAACACGGGGTTTTGAACAGATGGTAAGTTAACGACATTAAGTCATTACGCTGTAAGTTTCTCTCTAAATTGGAGAGCCAGAGAATTACGTGACAAAATACATGACACGCGGAGAAGGGGGGGGCAAGTTTCAACCTGCTCAACCTGAGTAGAAAAGAAAGCTTGCTAAAAGTTTATAATTTGTTCTTCAAAATCTACCACTGACCATGATCTGCGCCTTCAGAGGGGGAGTTAAATATCGTGTCCATAATGTTCCTCTGTCTTTCTCTCTCGGCGTCCAAACTGTTCTGATCGATCTCTGTGTCCTCCAGCTGGTCATAGTCTCTTTGTCTTGTATTTGATTCAAGTCCCCTTCTTGCACAAGCGATCTCGAAACGCTTACGAAAGAATCGCGCACCCTTATAAACAGTTACCACAAGTGCATGAAGTGCCACCGTGAACACTAAACCTAAGGACACGCCGTACCTAACCATTTCATCTTCAACAATTTGCATAATAGCTAGAGTGGCCAGAACCAGTAAATAGACAGACTCTGTAAAGTTAACACGAGGTTTCAAGTAAGGTTGAAAGTTACTGTGGACGGCCAAGATCAAGACGCACATCAAAATCATAAGAATCTGGGAGAAAAAATGTAGAGAAATACGGATTTAAGATTAATTATTAATTAATTAATTAATTTAATTAATAATTAGTTTATAATTAATAATTAATTAATATTATCAATTAATCAATTTTCTTAATACGGATCAATTCCAGTATCAGAGCAACTTCGCATCAACCTCTCCCCTAACTCATCAACAAGTCCACTGAAAACAAATTAAGGCTAATGTTGAGTTAGGGGAGGGGAGGGGTAGGGGCGCAGTTGCTCAGATGCTGACAATGATCCAGAAAAACTCATCACTTAAGTGTTACAATTAAAGAAACCATAGCAAGACAGAATATCATCGTCCACGACCATTTATGTGATGGGAAGGTAGAATATCAATTAGCTTGGGGATTGTTAGTTATCCAGTACCAAACAATCTGAACTAAAATCAAAAGAATTGTTTAGCACATAATATTATAAGGAGAATTACTAGTGAGATTTTGGGAGCGAAAGGTTTAAGAACATGAAATTACTTTTAAAATAAATCTTCTTTCGAGATATCGTTCATTTTCCATAGCCCTACCTTCTTTGTTTGCCAGTTTGGGACGAACGCGTAAGTACCAACCACGAGAACTCTTCGACACAAATCCACTGACCACCACCAACGGCGCTCAAGGCGCAGACCGCTTGTCAGTGTATTCAGGTATTGAGGATCCACCCTCCAATACCCATTGGTCAGAAGAAAAACCATGATCGGTGGGGGGATCACAAGGAACACAAGCACAAGGATAGCGAGGATTGCCATTGGCAAATGGTCATCATAGAAACATTCCACGGTTCCATCATAGAAGAATACGTGACTGTCACCAACTTTTGGACAAAACAAGATCAGAAACGACGTCTCGACACAATAGTTGTAGATGAAGACAACAAGAAGCCAAAAAGATTTGAGCATCGAACGTTGGCGAAATTTAAACCTGAGGCAATAGTTAATGCTCAATAGATAAGCAAACAGGAATATCAACAGAGCCAGAAAAGGAACCAAGTACCCAAAGGCAATTGAGTACAGATTATTAATTTCTCCTACAATACATGTCTTCGTCAGATAGACTAACGGCCCTCCAAAGTTGAATAAATCCGCTAAAAGGAAGATGTGACTCCCAAATTGGCTGGTGGGGTCGAATATGCAAGGGAGAACTTGGAAGAAGTACAGAGGTCCTCTTAACTCGCTAGATATACCGGGATTGAGCCAAATGATGAGAACACACAAGGCCATGACAAGAGGTATAACCACACCCAATACCCATCCTGGATTGGGACAATCGACGCACTCGTTCCATCTATAAAAATAGAATGTAAGGTAGTTAACCGTAATAATGCTGCCGAAACCCAGTTTATATCAAACTGAGTTACCAATGATCCTAGAGAATTTGAAACTTCGGATCAATTTTTAAACTTTGCGATACTTTCTCAACCAATCAGATGCAAAGCTGAAATAAATCGCGACATGGTCGCTTGCCTTTCTTCCACTTTTAAATCCAGTTACGTGTCTTTCTGAGGTAAAAGTGGCCCCTTGCGAGATTTCAGGTGGTTTTCTTTGGCCGTTGGCCTTCTGCAACTCAACTATGGTCCGGTCTGGAAATATACCTCGTGAGAGAACATTTGCTGAGAAAACTTTACCTTAACCCCACGCTAGTATTTCCAGAGCATTTACCACACAGCCAGCCTTCGCGGTTCTTTGCGCATTGAGCAATACTGTTGGCTGGATCGAATAAACATCCAGGTAGTTCGCCGACATGTGAACAATTACAATACTTGTATGGACAGTAGTAGGTAACCAGGGTACCATTTTCAGTTACATTCGCCCAGTATCCCTCTTTTAAATAAACAGTATGTCCATTCTCGCATCTGAAGTTAACGGAAAAAATAAACAAACAAACGAAAAATGGAATACTCGGTTTTGAAGTTATACACTCTCTAAGTCGGTCAGAGAGGAAGTAAGTCAGGTGATCAGTCAGTCAGCCAGCCAGTCAGTCGTTGGTCGGTCTGTCAGTCACTAGATCAGTCGATAAGTCAGTAGGTTCTCATTCAGTCAGCCGGTCATTTAGTCAGTTGGTTGGTCGGTTCGTCGGTCTGCCGGTCGTCACTTAGTCGTCAGTCGTTAATCAGTCGGGTTTTTTAAGTCAGCCTGTCAGTCGTCGGTCGGTCAGTCGGTTACTAGTCAGTCAGCCTTTGGTCGGAAGGTTGATCGGTTTGTCGGTTCACTGGTCTACCGGTTGGTCAGTTAATCGTCAGTCGTTAATCAGTCGGTCGGTCAGTCAGTTGAGGAGAAGGTGGGTAGATCACAAGCAAAACCATAATACAATTAACGAACGTAGTACATCATAGCAACAAAAACCTGCTGACCTTATTTTCGGCTTTTCACTTTTAGTTCTCACCTCGAAATGCCAGGAAGTTTCCTATTACATTCGCACGCTTTAGTGTCCTTGTTGAAATTAAATCCAGGCGGACACGTTTGAAGCTCCATTTCAAAGGAATATCCATTTGGTAAGGTAGAAAAGATATCCACAAATTGAATCCTTCGCCTATTCTTTTCACCTCTGTTTTGTGCTTCGTTGTAAACTGTCTCAGGAGCATTGAACGAAAACGATACAGTACTTGATTTGTTAGGCGAGAGCACGTACAGTACATTACTAAGCATCAATTTTGATGTGTTGTCAGAGCTGCCTTCTTCAGCCACAAAAGCAGTCGTATACACACTGTGTCCAAGTTCATCAACTCCTTGCAGATTCAAAGGAAACTTTTGACCTGGAGCGAGCTGATAGGGAGATCAAAAGAAAACAAGACCTAGTTTGTTGGGCTATTTACGAAAATTTCATCGGTTTGGTAACACTAAATTGGACATCGAAGAATGCAGGGTAAGTAACAAGCAGGCATGTAGGGGAGAGGGGAAGGGACGCAAGTAAGGAAGGAGCGGGCTAGAAGGGGTGGATGGGTGTGGCTAGATAGATGAATGAATGGAAAGACGAAAAGACAAAGAAACAGTTATGGCATAGACAAAACAATTAACTCAGTAACCTCCGATGAGAAACATGACGTAAAGTAAAGCTTACGAGCTAAAAGGGTCATCCTGTAAGAATTTATTTGGGTTCCAAATATGGCATGAAGCAAGCTACTATTCCCTGAAAGGGATTCTAGTCGATAGAGGGGTGTCTCACCCCCCCCCCCCCCCCATCCCTTGCCCACTTTCAGCAATTCGCTGACAGTTTCCCCTCGCCCCTCGTCCATTCATACTCCTGGGTGAAAGAGAGAACAAGATGTCTTGCTAAAGTTTACAGCACAAACCATGGATTATACCTTCACAGTAGAATTATCTCCCAAAGTCGAATTGTAATTTTTTGTGTCTGTGGCAATATCATACTCAGTTCCACTGAAGACGTGTGGGACACCGTCGAAAACAAGCGAGTTATTTCTGTACAAAATATTACTAGACCAGCGGAGAGCTTTCTGCGGATCGTGGTACGGAGCCTCTTCAATCCACACACATCTTTGAAGAGAGGAGATATAAATAGCTGCTCCTTTTATCCTGCTGCTATTCTCGATAAAGGATACGTTGGTCTTAAAGGAAAGAGGTATAAAACAGACTCAACTAAATTTAGAATGTGATATACACTTGAATGACAAAAAATTCATAGTTTCAAGAGCTTACCTTCCATTTCGATGGGGGCAAGTAATGGTCACTATAAGCCAGGAAACAGTTAGGATTAAACTCGTGTATAAACTCGCTCATGATGTTTTCCCATACAAGTATCGCGCCGCCGATTCCATCGGCTTTGTTTCCTAAGAACATGAGTTCACTTCCGGGGTAAAGTATCATTTGACTAGATTGCAGGAACAACGCTCCTCCATGGGACCCCGTGTTGTTAGCAAAAACCAGCTGTCCCTCCACATGTAAAACGCAATCCTGAAAACTTCCTGCGCCTCCACCATAGTTGCGCTGAAAAATGTTGCTTCCCTGAAACCTTACGTTCACCCTTTGACTTGTGAACGGACTAGTACGTGCAATACTCGACATATTGTGATTCTCAAACTTGCAGTTTATAAACTCGGGGGTAACATCCATAGTGCTTCCATACGGAAGCGCAGTGGTGAAGCGAATCGCTGTACTGGCATCGCCCCTATTGTCACTAAACACCACATTATCAAACCTCAACACGGAGTCGTTCGGTTTGTCATCATAGTTCATGAGAAAAACATTAACCCCTGCTCCTCTCCTCGCCTTATTTTCTTTCACGGTGCAGTTTCTGATGACACTTGTGATGCTAGACGCATTGTCCCATTGGGAGAATATCAGCCCCCCTCCGGTTTGTCCGGCTCTGTTTCTCACAAAATGCGAGCCAATTATCGACAAGTTGTTTTTCGACGCCGAGTTAGAGTCGGCAAAGTAGAATCCCCCTCCATACGTTGCCGAGTTGTTCGAAAACTTAGAGTCTTCTATCACAGCACGACAGTGTTCAGTCTTCTTCAAGAACACAACTAGAAGACCCCCACCTCCTGCAGTGAAGTGCGAGACATTTGATGAAGGTGCAATATACGATGCTGAATCATTCGTCACGGCCGAGTTGAAGGTGAAAGTTGAATTTGTTATTACCACAGAAAGAGGAACTGAAGTTCGAAACAGAAATCCTGCTGCACCACCGGCCGAGGTAAACCCTTCTTTAAACTTCTCGCTGGAATTGCGTCCATTTGAAGTGTTATTTTGGAAAATACAACTTTCTATAGTAACCTCGCTATCAAAGGCGTTAATCCCAGCCTGTTTGTTATGTTCAAATACACAATTCCTGAAGTTTATTTTAACAGAATTCCATATGAGAACAGTAGCGGCGAAGCGAGGGCCACATTGTTGAAATTTGAGGTTTTCTATGCTAATATTTCTTGTCTTGTCTTGTCTGATTTGAGTAACTCGAGATCCGATATCAAATCCAGCAGAGACATCTGTGCATCTAATAATGGATCCATTTGCGTGACTTGATTGCAGAACAATACCTCTCCTTGGGTTGGTTTGACTGATGTTGATCCGTTTGTCCAAAGAGTGAATGTGATCTTCGATCTGAAAAATAAAGAGTGTTTGATTGTGGTTCTCTTCATCCTCCATGGCATTTAGAGCAAATCCGACCGTTTTACAAGGTCCCGAGGCGCTCGAAAGTAGACAAGATTTGTTATCATGTCCGGTGGCGGTTGAAACTCGGATCTCCAAAGCACCCGACCATTCCACAACAATCAAAATGTAAATGACCATAACACAGCCGGCGACTAAGTCATTGAATCGCATTGTCGCTCAGTAACGTAGAGAGAGATGCGAGATTTACCCCCGACTATCTTTACTCAATCTGTCTACATAGATCGATTGGTATTCAATTAAAGACACAAATGTCACGTAATCGTGGCTTTCGCGATGGTATCACGCGGTTTTCGCATGACTGCTCTCACTTGGGGAGGTTACCAAGCGAAAACGACTGAGACTACCGCGAACACGCCATTTAGGATGGGGTGGATACAGGACACGGGGGCCGGGGAAGGATCACGAACACCACTGTCATTGCTAAATGGAAATCTTAGAAACATTTCACCGAGCCATCAAAAAAAAAAAAGAACACGTTATTACTGCCAATGTTAACTCAGAAGAGGATCATGAACGATGTCTCGACGAGCTGACTAAATAAGGAACACGAGTAGGGGCCAAAATGACCTCAGAATGGAACTTCAGCGGAAATTCAACTTGAGACAGCAATTAACGCTTTCGAAATAAGCCAACAAGTAAAAGGAAAGAGCGACCTCTGAAAACGGTTGCAAGAAGATGATCTATTCCTGAAATGAGGTACGTATCAAAAAAAGACAACAATCGAGGACTTAAGTTAAAGGTGATTCGCTGCATAAATGGAATAATAAAGTCACCCAATAGAGAAACTTTGGACAAGTTAAGGTCATATATGAAGGGAACGTTTTGGAAAAAAAACAAAGGTCCTCGGAACTCGCTCGCATGTTTATTCTAAGTATCTAAACGGACACTTAAAAAGACCTCTAAATATTAAGTTGAAGTTGATCAACCCAACAACCCCTTTTGACTCACTGTTTAGTTAGGATACCTCGTGGACAACGAGTTGGAAGGAAGACGGTTTGCAAGGAATAGAGCAAAGGGATATCCCCATATATGATCATTCTTTTCTCATGATGACATTAATATTTAAGTCAACAATAAAAACGGACCTCACGAGCTAAGCGGAGTATAGCATTTCATAACGACGTTTATTCGATGCCTGATACACTCGTTTGCAAAATTTAACCAAGAAGCAGCATTTTCAATTTTTTTAGGAAGAGAGAGGGGGAGGGGGGGGGGGAAGGAGGTAGGAGGGGGTAATAATGCATCTTGAAAACCATGTACCTTCAGTCAGGGGAAAGACCCGAGTGTGTGGCTGCGAGGAACTGCGCCGTCGGAGAATCGCGCATTTAGAAGAAAAAACTAAAGGGGTAAATTTCCTAAGAAACTGTGGTGCTGCATCGTTGAGGGAGTATAACAAGATAATTTGGTTTTATCAATTGAGTTGATAATGTAAATTGGCCGTAAAGAGTGAAGTGAAAAATCCTAACGGTGGCCTATTTGCATCATCAACTCAGTTGATAAAACCATATCATCTAATTACAATTACATAGTTTGGTCCACACGATAGCATAGTCTGCCAAGACTTTCAAAGAAAGTTAAAAAAATTACTTCGCAAAAGGGTTTGAGCAGGGAGGAGTTTACATTAAAAAAATGAATAAAGATAAAAGGAAAGTAACAAAATTGGAATTACGATAGACGCATGCATCCGCGCTAGACTAAGAATATGTGTATTTTTGAGAAACGCTACATGTAGAAACCAAATAATGTTCGGGATTTGACCGAAAAAAATCGATAATCTGGCGTCAATTATGTGTTTCCTTGTTTCCGGTATCGTTCTTGGGTCGTTTCATAACGCTATTGGCGATATTCAGTTCCTCCGCTTTTTCCAACTTATATCTTCTCGTATGTTAATCGAAAGGGTTGTTATAATCTTTATCAGGTTCCAGCCTAAATTTGTTGGTAATATAATCAAGTCGCAGCACTGAGCTACATTGTGCCCACTTTCTACATCAGATCTGACAAAAAATCAATTTGACAACCCAATAACAACATAAAACTTGACATTTATTACAACATGTATCTTCCCAGAACATGCAGGCCGAAAATTATCGAGAAATATTTCCGCGGACAATTTTAAACGCCATCAATTAATTGTAATATTTTTAATTAAATTAAATAAAGACAAATAACATTTGGCTATGTCATGCATCGAACCAACAATAACAATGATGACAAAAATATTCAGAAGCACATCACTGAAGTTCCTTACGGCACAACAAACACAGACCAGCTGGTTTGGGGGAGAAACAGAAGCTATCTACATAACAATCGTGAGCGCATAGCCTTCGAATCTAAAAATAAATCTAAGATCTGCACCAGATATTTAAATGAAAAACCAAGATGTTAAACCTAATATAGACAAATTAACACCGAAACTCGTATTATCAGATATGAAACTCTCCCTTCCAGCTGCTATACATTCTCTTGCCCTTTAACCCTTAAAATAGTGACTGGCATCTAACATTTCTTTACAATATCATCCATAAACCATATTAAGGTCACGAGATTGAAGGAGATGATCCCTCATAACAGCTTTTGATTGTTAAACAAATTTTCCTCGTCGGCACTTTGCTAAATGCATAGAGAACAGTATGGAGAATATGTATATCAATGAGAAGGTGTGAAGGGTTGAATATTTGCAAATTTGGATAACTTGTTTGCAAGATAAAGTGCAAGAAACCTTTGGGAATTAGAGCATAAAGAATTACATAAACCTTTTCAAAAAGCCGGGAGTAACTGAAAGGTAGTTTTTCCTTTAAATATCAAATTAATAGCCACCACGAAAATTGTGAGAAGATAGAGAAATATCAACAAGGGGATAAGACACGTAAGGAAGACAGTGGGGGAATTGATGTCAAGTCTTTAACCCCCACAAGTGATCAACATATAACTTCTCCCTAAAATATCCATAAATCATCCAGCAAACAGGTAATGACAATACTCAAACTTGTCAGGTACAAGTTGTTATCTTGATCTAAGATAAAACTCTCGCAACTAATTAATAAGGAAATGTGCAGCAGCTATCGGGGAGAATTGACAGCCAGATCTTAAGAGTTAAAGGGTTAAGCTTGTGGGAATATTAGGTTTAGGTTTTGTCACAAATACAGTATATTGGGCTATTTTACCATGAAATAAATAATTCATGCTACTAGTGGCAATTCAAAACTTCTACTCAGTCTTACTTCATAACCATGACTAGCAGACACAAAAAGTAGTTCAAAACACTATGCGTGCACAATTGTTAAACACTGTGGCAGCAGTGAGATAGAGAGACTTCTATACCACCCCTTAATTCCTCACTTAGCTACTACATGTATGTTAGTGAGCTAACATTAATTTCTTAAAGTAAATCTGTAATAATTAATTGATTCCTACTTCGACTTGTCTCACTGGGAGGTTCCTTCCCCAAAACCATGAGAATTTTAAAATTAATTCAGAACATTTGTTTACCATCCAAAAAATTTACATGCACACACAAATCCAGATGTAAAAGTTTGCCACATGTAACATTTCCAACCTTTTAACTCCCAGAATTGATTAGCATCTAGCTTCTCCTTACAATACCATGCATTAACCAGCAAACAGGTAAAGAGAAAATTGAAACTTATCAAGAAGTTATCTTTATATAACATTAAATTCTCCTAACTTATCAAGAAGGAAATGTGCAAAAGCTAGAGGGGAGAATTAACTACCAGATCTTGGGAGTTAAAGGGTTAAATGCATTTGATTGTCACTTAAAGGTTCTTAGAGATAATGATCTTACATTTAGTATAGTTACATACGCCTAAGCATTATCCCATTTGACAAGTACTATTAACTTAATCAACTTAAATATTAATTTAATTTAATATTATTACTGTTACTTTGAAAACTTGGTCAACACTTATGTGTACTGCATCATTATCCATTGAACTGGCAAGATAGAAGAATAACTTCAATTTTTAACATTTACACAAGTTTGTTGTTTGCCTTGCAATAAAAATACTAGTCACAAACATCACAAATTATTACACTCAGTCTCAGATGCATTCTTACACAAAAGCTGTTGTTAGATGAAGTTGTTAGTTCAAATTGTAGGCAAGATTCATATTAAATGTCTAAAACACCAGACTAATACTTGATATTATTTAGAAAAATTAAACTGTGCACATCTTGAAACTTGTTTTCCACATACAAAATAAATAAATATCTATATGTCTGGACACTGAAAACGAGAAAAATGGCTGAAAAGATGGCAAGAAATAAAAACAATCTGAAAATGAGGGCAAAATAAGAAACTTTATGGCAAAAATTCTCAGGAAAACCTGGGGTAATTCAGAATTTGGCAAGATTTAGTTTTGTCGTACATGACAAGTTACTTTTACAAACATATGCACATGCAAAAGCTGCATGGGTTGACAACTGTTATGGCTACTCCAGATGAAATTTCAAGTAAGTTTATGTTAAGTTGATAGTACTATCATTTCTGACTTACACTGTGCATGCTTTATCAATATTATTATAGAAGAGTGGGCTCATAATTGGGGAAAAAAATTCTGGACAAGTTACCACTTAAACCATCTCTTTCAGCCACTTGTCAAGTTTTCAAGAATGGAAATTGAATTCTTTAAAATTTAAGCATTAGTATACCAGAATATTACAACTGAATACTGATTACAAACATTTTACACAGCTATTGACAAATTGAGACTTGGACAACATTGATCAACTGGCAATTTCTCACAAAATTTTACACAGAAGACAAGAAAGCAGCACACAATAAAAGTCAGGATTTATGGAGGAAAACTATAATTGTAGCATGATGGACAAGGACAATCTACCCACCACTAGAACAAGAAATTTGCAGAGATCGCATGAAAGAAATTGCAAATTGATCAAAGGGCTTGTCTTTCATTTTACACTGTAGCTTAAACTGAATTCAAATCTATATTAATTTAATACTGTTAAGCATTAATTTTGTTACTACAACCTTATACAAAACTATAAAACATTTAACTTCCTAAAATTTCTTCCTCTGATAATTAAAATATATATATATTGCCAAATGCAATAAAATAACATCCTAAAACATTAAACTATCAATTTGTCTGGAAAAACACTACAGGATCTGTCATCTTCAGGAGAGATTGAAATATTAGCACTTTGATTTTCATTTTAAAAAGAAAACCATACCAGAATTTTCAGTACTTACTTTGATAAACCATAAGAGAAGACTCAGGAGATTACTTGATTGCTTTACTTGGTGCATATTTTTTTCACATATCTGTCCAGTGTAACTTGTCCAATTTTTAACTTACTGTAACAATAGAAGTTCTGGGTACACATAAGTGTGCTGGATTATTAGACTGGCAAGCACAAAATCAATGCAAAGACTACCCCAATGAATCATTATCAGCAAAGGAAAAAATACAAGATATTTAGAGAGAACTAATTAGGTTTCAGTTAAATCATTCCTGTTTTTTTTTTCCTTCCCACAAGTTTAATATTTGAAAGAGAGTAAACTTAGCTATTATGGCAGATTACTTGTACATCAAAAGGGAATTAAAAGACTTTTCCAATGTCGTTATGCATACACCAACTCTTCCAATGTTCAAAGTATCTGTCCAGCAGAAACTATTCAAAACAATTAAATCTTGCCACACCACAGACCTGCCGTTGGTGGTACCATACTAAGCCTCGCACTGGCATCATTCAAGTTAACACTATTAGAGTTTCAAAAATTTGTTATACATTCTTGTTAGGGTTTATATATCTGTTATCAAGGTTTCTGCTTCACACTATTTATACATTTTATATTATTGTACACAACATTATACAGATCAGTTAAAAATGAAGTATGTGAAAGAGAAAAGAGAGTGAATTGATGTCATTTACATATAAAAAGTTTAGCTATCAGATGTAGGTACTATAACATAGAGCTAAGAGAAATATTGATCATTGGGGTAAAGGTATCTTTGCATAGCTAACAGAGAAATGTAAATACGCTTTATAGGTGGTAGACAACTATGCACCAATAAGGTTGACTTGATTCCAGCAGGTCTTTTCAACACAGGACAATTAAATGAAAGCCTTCCAATGACACTGCCACATTGCAGCACTTGACATGACAAATGTTAGTCACTGACAACAAGGACGCACATGATAGCAACACAAGCACACGTCCAATTATTACATGAACTTAAATTGATCAATTCGGTTTGACACAAAAGTCAGGCACCTCCCAGCATTATCACTGACATTCATACATTTGTGGGAAGTTCATCACTAAATGAGAACACTGTCCCCCCATAGAAACATCCATTAGCTATTCACACAGACTTGTACGGGAACAAGGACAATGACGAACATGGACTTAGGACACTGTTACTTGATCTGAGCAAGGACTACACAGCCCTCTGTTCTTATACCACCTGAAAAAGAAATGTACACTTTCAAAAAAATTCCAATGAAAAATTTTGTAGTAAACAAGGCCATCTATTTCATTTCATTTACAATAAGAGATTGCAATCCTATTTAGTGTACATTGTCTCTTTTTTCAAAGAGCTTACACTACATGTACATGCATGTCATTCTTGGGTTCATGCACTTTTTCTGTGTGATATACATGAAGTTTGTTCCCCTTAGAAAGTCTAACTAACAGTTTACTCATTCTATGGAGTTAACGAATCATCCAAGAACTACAAGTGCATGTACAAATAAAATATTCAATGTAATGGGTGACTGTGTTATTTAAGTCTGCCATATTTGAAAGAGATCAGTGGTTTCATTACACTCACCCTGACTGCCGCAGCATCTCCTCAAACTCCATAGTTGGTGGATAGGCGCTCTCGCAGAGCTGCAGGAAACTGACTGGAAAATCGTTTCCAGTTTTCCTCACCAACCTGATTTTTAAAGCCATGAAGGATCTACAAATCAAGGTGATAGTGGAGAAAAGTTAACGGCAAAGCACATGGCAAATCAAGCCACGCTGAAAAATCCAAAGGGAACTCACCTTAAGGAACATATCCTTTAGGTCTGGTCCAGGGTTAACCCATGATGCTACAGCATCACAAAAGAATATGAAATCCTAAAACAAAAAACAATTTGCTTCATAAAAAGATATAAAGGTACTATTGTAGCAGCCCAATTCAACACAATGCAAGTACAGATAAGATAAGATGTATAATGCCCTCACCTGAACAACTCCACCGGGGTTAATACCAATCATGTTACAGATACCTCTGAAGGCAGAGTCTTTTTCCTCGTTGTCCCGTATATTCCGCAATGAAGTACACCTGAAAAATGACAGTATAGAAGATCAACAGTGCATGACTACTTACACAAATATCATTTGGATATGTAACGCAGGAAAGTTTCACTCCTTTGTAATTTGTTTGTAGAGTTTCATTCCTAAGTAACCTTGGAACTGCTTTTTTTTCAACTTTATTTACAAAGACATGAAAACCTTCCCAGAGGAGATTCAAAGTAGTTGTCATCACATGGCCAGTCTTAAGAAAATCATATATAATATCACTTGATTCTATAGACTAATAGCTGTTATTATCTTTGTGGCAAAAAAATTGAAAAATACTAGATCATTTAGAAACCTAGAAAGAAACATTCACAATCTATCTATGGTACTGATTTCACTTGGCTTTGAAATACTCTTGCCAAAAGGCACTCTAAACCTAGTGGTTTGTTATAGAATAAACATATCTATCAATACTACAAGACTTTGGAAGAGGGACAAAACCATTTAAATTAAAATGGCACATTTATCGAACAGGCTGCTAGTTAAACTTGTTAATGTTCAATTAATGCAATGTACATAGATCACAACAAAGAGTACAACTGCATCATACTAAATCTTGCAGCACATACATGTACAAACACCGCACATAAAATTTATGACTGAGAACATTCAAATTCCACAAAAAAAAAACAAACAAACAAACACAAAAACAACATGTAAATAAAAAGAAACACCAATACACACCACTTCTGAATAAACTGCGGTAACAAAGGTGCCACCTCTTGCGGACAAACTAAACCCAGACGACCGATTGTGATTGCTAAAAACACAATCATTAACAGGAAAAGAAACAAATTCATGCCATCAGAACAACGCTACACAAACATCAATGCAGTGGCTGCATTATTAGCTTAGTGAATCAATGACTCTGTGAGTGTTCAAAGAAAAAAAGATTGTATTGTGACACACATTTTGCAACATACACCTGTATAGACAACAGATTAATAGCCACTTAAGGGACAAATGATGACAGTACAACACCAAGGAGCTTTCTTGAAAAGCTGCTTTTACATGTCATTCATGCATTGTACAGTGTGTGCATAATCTTCCAGGAACATGTATGGTTAACAACAACTAACAGTTGTATGAACTCCAAAGGGAAACACAAATTTATTTTAACACCAAAGGTTAAATACAATTTTAATTGTCGATAAAATACAAAAAATGCACAGTTTGGTGTTAGTGTACAGGGCTACAGACAACCCACCCACCATTAGTCGGGCACATCTTTATAATAATGTTCCATGTATTAGCTCACTTGAGCTGAAGGGCTTATGTTAAGAAAGAAGTGAAGATGAGGAGGAGATGGAAAGACCAGAGCTAAGCACCAAGAAATTAACTATTACCCCTTTCATTCCCTGGATCTTGATATTGCCATACATTCTTTTATAGTTATTTTATATCTAAGAATTTGTTGTTAAGTTACACAATGTCCTTTAGATAATAGTTTTTTCCTCCACTTCTCGTCACCCCCTCTGTTGGAAAATGACTTAATATTGTCTGAAGAGATTCATTTTTGGTCACTTCTGGGAGTGAAGGGTTAAACCCAACAATTTAAGTTACTAAGACTCTGCAATAGGAACATAATAATAACCTGTGTTTTCTTGCAGTGTCTTTGGAGTATGAGGTCTGTTAATGATGGTAATGAGTTGCTGTAGAACCAAGTTGATATACTGCTTCATATCTGATCCTATTAAAAAAGAAAATGAAGATTCAGGTGCTTGTAGTGACAAAGGAAACAATGACTTCATGAATGGACAGAGAAAAATGATTGAGGAAGAAAAGGAGAGCAATTCAGATGTAAGAAAAAAACAGAAAGTCATGGGATAGAGCAAAGAATGGAAAAAAGGAAGGAGGAATAGATGAGCAAACAACACCCAAGTACAGTATATACAGGCAAAAAAATGAAAAAATGAATATGGAAGTAAAAAAAAAAATTAAATAAAATGGTCTGATACCCAAGGGACAAAAAAAAAAAAACAACAGATAATTCAGTATACATGCAAATACCAGTCAAAAATATGTGTATCTTACCAAGCTGCACAGATATTTCTCCAATAGCCCAGGTAGCATTGTTACAAACTGAGATAAATTCTGGATTGAGATTCTGGCCTAAGATCGGTAGGAAGTCACCTATAATATGACAACATTATCAAGTTTAAGATGACAAAGACCAGCTATTGCCTTGACATGTCAATAATAAATACAAATAAAAAGAAGAAGCGGAGAAAATGCTGAAGGTATGACCATATTGAAAAAAGATACAGGTATACGTACCAATGCAGGGTTTGACATGTTGGAAGCAAGCTTTTGTCAAATCCCCCAGCAGTGCAAAAGAACTTTGTCTCACTTCAGGCATTTTGTCCTAGAGAAAGAAACAGTAAAACTCTTAAGACCATTCAAACTACACAGTGTACAATGCGTAATAAGAACCCCAAGCAAATAATTTTCAGTTTGCTTTCAATGAAAACATGTACTGCAACTTTTTCTGCTTCAATGAAAACCTTAGGCATTTACATACACCCTGTACATCAACATGTTCATTCATTGACATACCTGCATACACTGGAAAAGAAGGGTCATTGTGTTGCTCCTAATTATAAACTGTTCAATTTGCCCCTCCAGTCCCTCAGCCAATCCACTCAGAAGATCTAGGGCAACAATCATGAAATCCTTGTCTGGAGGTTCAAACTGCTCTGGATGAGTTTGAGAAGCCTGCAGAAAACAGTTACATTCAGTACAATGGCAGGATATGGTAATCTATTTTTGTTCTTAAGTTCTACACAAATACCTACCACACTTTGAGTTAAAGTTTGTTCCACTAATGACACACATCTCTGAAAGACAGGTTCGGCGTATGGAAAAAAGCCAGAACGTAAAGCTGTAGCTACAGAGGACAAACACTCTAACAGTGGAAAAAGGTCTTTGTCCTCATCTTTCAGCTGGTTCCACTTCTGAATAAGAGGTGGCATCAACATATTGATAAACTCAGGCTTGTTGAGGTGGTGACCCACCGAGTCAGCTAGTGTCCCAATAGCATCATACAGTATAAGAAGGTTTTTGTGCTACAAAAGAAAAGAAGAAAGGTTTAACATTACTGCATTTTTCATGAAAAGAAAAGAGACTGTTAAATCAGAAGCAAAGGGAGGCCTAGTAAAAAAAAACAACTCAAGAAGATGAAACACCTTTCAATTTAATTATTGTTCCCAAGGATGCATGGATACTTTGTGCAAGTATTGTACTGTACAATCACATTTAAAATAACAAAAAAACAACAATTTGTTTGGTCCTCCACTTCTTAATGCCATATAACTCAATTAAAAACCTAGTAATAATCACTGAAATACTGCTTTATATTTTTTTCCTTTTCTTTTCTTGGGGGGAGAGGGAGGGAGGGGGTTAGCTTCAGCTGCAACAAACCTGATACTTGTTGAAGGCAAAGACCAGTGTCTCTAGAATGAAGCTAAGATATGGAACAAGTTCAGTGCAAGCTTCTTCCTCCAGCGTGGCAAAGGCACTACGAAAAAGTCAGATCACAACTAAATTATAAATATGCACAGTGAATGAAAAAAAAGAAAAATTGTAACACTTTTGTACATCAGTGCTCTTGGACACTTAGCCATCAACTGAGTATGTAGAATTCCACATCAGTTGTGTTTGGAAAAAGAGAGGAAATGCAAGTGTCAGCATAAAAATATCTTAGATATTCTTGGAACCGCTCCTTTCCAGTGGTCTGAGACAGCAGATCTTGAGAAAACCAAATGACTATTATTTCATAACTTTGTATGTGCGATATAAGTGTTCAGTTTTGGGAATGCACAGGATATCACTAATATTAACTGACTTGGCTTTTATTGTTCAAATATTATCAATCTGTTTTGGTGCACCATGACAAGGCTATGCCTATTATTACCTAACAGCAAGTGCATGTCCTACATGTATGTAGCACAGTTTCAAAAGACAAGAACTCTTCTAAATACTTTAAAGCTCTTGTTGAGGAGCAATGCCTCAAAAGTTTTCTTAAAAATGCAATGCCAATGTGGACAATATGACAATAAGAAAGAATGGTGGTACCTGCACGCTGCCTCCTGAACCCTCTTGTTACTATCCAAGATCCGTTTAAGGAGCTAAAGTTGAAGAATTTTGCAGAATAATTAGAGCTACAAAAAATGCAACCATGCAGTGCCTTATTAGCAGAAATACATCGCTATTGTCACTGAAATCAAAATGTAGCACCTACATACCTCTGTCATGAGACGTTGAAGGTATGCTTCATGAGGCTGACTGACAACCCAGTGTGCATAACGACTCAGGGTCCAGCACGTGATAGAGCGCACCAGTGCCTAAACAAAGCCAGATCAACAGGTAATGTATACATTGCTATTTATGTTCCTTGGTGCCAGTGCATGATAATTTAATTCTCACTCACCCTTTTCTCAGAGAGAGAGTTTATCAGGAAAGGAATTAGTTCTGGCAGGTGAGGAGAGATACCAGTTATACAACCTATAGAATAAACAGAATCTTTTATCAGCATGCACAGTTTCTATCGGTGTATTTTCATGTAACAGCTTCAAGAAACAAATAAAGAAACAGGAAATTTAGATCTTGAGAATGAATGGGCGAAAAGAGCGCTACTGTAAAATATTTCATGTAATGGTCTAACAGCTCATAATGTGTTCAGTTGTAACATATTGTTAATCACATCAAGTAACCTTCTGCAATGGCTCCCAAAACAAGGATTCCAGACTCTTTAGCTTCCCAGTCTGGATGGAAGAGAGTTTCCTTCAAGATTGGAAGAAGAACTGGTAAAAGATCATCACGGAACACATTGGCAAGAACATCCAAGGCAGCTGCAGAGCATTTGCCTAAAAAAAAAAATCAAAAAAATTTTTATTAATGTGTTATTCGCCAATGAAAAAAACAGACACAACAACACACTGTAGGTGTCAATTCCAAACCACTTACGCAAGTTCCAGTCTGAGAGGGTATCGTCATCCATATCATCATCATCTCCATCACTGTCCCCCTGAAAAAAAACAATGTAATGCAACTTAAGAAAAATGAATAGAGAAAGGATGGTCTTTCATTGCCAATACTCTGGGTTAGTTGGCTCTTGAAAGAGATAAGGACTTAATTTAGAGTTTGGAAGCTTGAACATAAAACCTTCTTGATGAGATTATTGTCCAAATTAATACATCTACTGAGGCAGTGCTAGGGTGCTGGTCTTGTTTTCTGGTGGCCCTAGGTTCATGCCCCCCACATGCTACTCACTGGATCACACTTCCCTTTGTATATAGCCAACTGATCTGCCTCCTGCCAGTTAGGGTTCTTAAACACTTTGTTTATGTTTATTTACAATGTTTACTTTCAATTTGTTTGAATTTGAGGGCCACAAGTCCATCAGATTGTAACTGTTTAGTGTTACCCTCAGTAAATTAAGTGTTATTACTATCATTATTATTATTATTATTTCAGGAAGAGAGTGTTCCACATTGACCAAGATCTTACATCAATTTCTCCATCTGCTTCATGCTGCTGACTGTGAGTCTTGGACTTATGAAATCTTGGTCTGATGTCCTGCTCACTGTCTGGAACAGACTCGTCATCTTCATTATCAGCCTGAAGAAGGTAACAAAATGAACAAATGTCTATAGATTCCTCAATTAGTACATCAAATGAACAGATAAGGAAGTACATGAGGGCAAATAAATCACACAAACAAAAACCACTCACCTTCAGAAGAATCAGGTCAATCTCTGAATACCTCATACCATTTACCAATATTGGTACCAGCCTGCAATTTGACAAGAGCACAGTTCTTAAAGCAAATTTATTTCATTAAAAATCATGGACAAATCATCATCAATTTCTCTAAGTTTCTCACTTCAAGCTTTCTATAAACACGAGGTGTGTGAAAACCTCCACCTCTGCACAGTACAATTGAACCTTGGGTCACACCAGGGAGGTACATGAATCAGAAAAAATCAAAAGTACAGTTAAGGATAGGCAATGGCAACACACCCCTCAAATACTAAGAGTATCAATTATGAGACAAAAATGTTTCACTGTCAGGACTAAAATGAAATACTTAAACATAATTGGTTATCAGCTGCTCAATTTGGGCACTAACAGCACAGGTCACATGTCATTCCTGTGAGAGCATTTGTATGTACTGTTACATAGACTACCAGGTTGCAAAAAGAATATGTTAAAATGCTTGTTGATGTACCTATGAAGGTGTGGGCTGAGAGCCTCCTTACAGATAGGTTGCTCTGCCAGTGTCAGCCAAAACTCACAAGCTTCAAGCGATACATTCTCATCTTTGTCTTGTGTCCTCATCAGCATGTACTATAAAAATGTACATATAAAAAGTATTTCACCCCACATTACATCTGTCTCTTGTCAGCTAAGATACAATATATACTCCTTAAGGACATCAAACCTACTTTTAGAGTAATTATATTTATCAAATACTGACCTCTACAATGTTATTCATATGTGGAATTAATTGGTCTGCTCTGACTTCCAAAAGCATAACAAGGGCTCTGCACACATTCTTTCTTACTTCTGGGTCTTCATCTCCCGCGAGGGCAAACAGATTCTACAGAAACAAAAGATTTTTCATAGATAAATACTTTTGTATCAGCAATGGTGGTAAATCCATTTCATTTATACATACAAGTGAAGCTTTCTATGTAAATTCTTAAAGAGATTTACTCAGCCTATAATGTACATCAGTGGATCAACCTGACCACATAAATATTATGATCAGAATTACTCAACAGTATCTAAAATCAAAAGACAGGTTCCTGTATTTGATGTTTCAAGAACTTATTTTTTTTAAGAATAATTGTCTTAGCAGATAGATTCATTTGTTTGCACATCTTTAAGATATAACACAAACGCATTTCTATGGTAAATAATTATTATACATACATACATACATATACTTTATTTAAGCTCGAAATTCAGTGTAGCTGTAGAGCTAATATCTTTGAGAAAAAAGCTAAAATGAAATAAAAATATGCTATCTTACAATTTCAATATTATTTATAAACTATATAAAACTAAAAGCTAAGAGGGAAAACTAAGAGGGAAACATAACTTGTAGATCTACTGTGGAAAAGCTACATGACCACACATGAATATTTGTAAAACTATATTCAATGTAAAACTGTGACAGTCCTACCTCAATAAATGTCCCTATGTGAACCATAAGGGCCTGTGTTCGTGTAACAATAAACTGATTTACACAAGCAATAGCATGAGACCTACAAGGAAATTGAACAAGAATATTAGCTTTTCCCTGTAAAGCTTGGTAGATGACAGCTACATGTATAGCAAACATAAATGTCTTTTTACCTTATTTTTGGGCTTGCATGGCGGAAGAATTGCAGAAACTTTGGGATCAGTACAATGAGGGGTCTATTAAGGGCATCACTGTCAAGTTGCTCAGCAGAGTCCTCACAGATCTTTTGCAGAGCTCCAAAAGCTCCCTGCAAAAAAAAAAATTAACAGAGAATTAACCACTTATCTATCTGACCATTGTGCATGAACCCATGCTTTCTTCCAATATTCATTTATATTTTATTTGCCATTATATATTACTGCCAGATATAACAATTAATGAAGAAACAAAAAAAGATCATTGGCAAGGAAACCTAATAAAAACCATTAGGGCTTGTAACCTCACACTCCCTCACATGTAGTTAAAGATAGGTGAAAATATAGATAACAGATTTGGTAAAGATCTTGGAAATTCTACCTAACGCAGGCTATCAGTGTTTGTCCTGTTCTGTAAATTACATTCTAACAAAGGTATCTGTTGTTCCATATGAACAATTTATAAACAAACAGAATAAAAAACTAGGAGTTCAACCCCCTTTAAGAACTGGAATAGTGAAGGCTAAACTCAGAGTCAGAAAATTCTCTGACAAATTTCCATAATCCAAACTACTTCTTTCTTGTTTCACAATTTCACAAGGGATAATTCTTTGTTACTTTACAATTTTTCATTGCTGCTATTTCCTTAACAATAATAGGTCAATTTTATCCACCCTTCTATTTTAACATGATTAGGAGATAACACCTGGGTATTGTTTAGCCAAAAGGGTCCCTGAATGTAACTCGAACATTATTCTTGCTATCTGATTTTTCTAATGTCTGAATCTTTGATAAGCAGATTGTAGCATTACAGCCTTTAATGAAATGTAACAAAGAATAACATGACTAGAAATATGGTAATAAAACTGGTATAGTTTCCAATCAAGTATGAACATCTCAAACTTACACATGTGGGTTTTTTAAAATTTAATTTGTGGTTAAAAAAAATTCAAGAATAACTGTGTGTGCAACCCAAGCACCCAGCCTGCAGGGTATAGCAAAACTCAGTGAGATCTTGTGCATGCAAATGTGATTCTGCTGTGTGAAATTTATGGTATGAAAGGAAAAAATTGCACATATAACTGCCATAATCTGCAAATAGGCTAAGTGGCTGAGTCATGATTAGCAAGTTACAACCTCCCAGAGTTAAAAAATTAACAGGTACTTGCAATTACTACTATACAATGCACACTGCAGGTGTATATTTAATAGATTAAAAATCCAAACACTTGTATTACATAAGCCTGTCAATACTAAAAATAATTTGAAATAATAAATCAAAATAAATTAGCGATGATCTCACAGATAATCTGTCACTACCCGATATGTTATTAACACTCCTCTGCTAAAATGACACCTAAAAAATTTGATTCATCGATAAAAAAGTTCAAAAATATACACATACACTATATAAGTTTCTAAAAATTTAGCACTGGAAATTTGCCAGCTCTAGATCTTATGGAGAATCAATGCTCACCTCACAGACATTATAATCCTCGCTGTCTAACAACTGGCACAACGTTGGCAATAGTTGAGGCCAGTTTGTCAGATCGCCTTTCGCCGCTATAGTTGTGATCAAGATACCAATCGTAGCTCGTATGAGAGGTGAAGGATCCCCAATGGCCTCGAGGCATTCTGACTTGATAAATTCTTTCACTTGGTCAGGGAAAGTGTGATAATGAGATTTAACGTTGTTCTTGAGAATCAAACCCGAAAGTGAACGAGTTGGTTCATCTGAAATAAAAAAGAGATATAATGAAGGTTTCACAAATTGATTTGAAACTTAGATTGGCTAGAAAATCACTGAGATTTAGATTAATCGAGCGGCAACCGGAACTGAGCTGAAAAACACCTCTAGCTTACATCCCGTGAAACACACTAACCTTCGCTCTTCAACTTCGTAAGAACGAATATCAGGTAATTGTTGAAATCAGGGAATTGATTCAGAGACTCAAGTTTCTGAAAAAGAGATATGTTAAGGAATACAAGAAAAATATAACGACGTTAACACAACCGGAGAGCACGTGTGACGCGCCAACTTTCAACTGTGTTACGTCCTATATCTCGTCTAATTCCGCATGAAAACCAAAGCAAACACTATATATGGTACAGTAAAGGATACTTGTTGAACTGCTCTTTGTACTTCAGTATTTGGGCTTTGACTCTCCTTCAAAAGCTGTATAATTTGCTGTAAACCGTCCTGATCTGGTTGCCACGCCATTTTGCTTTTTCGCACCGGCTCCAACCCCTGCACTTCTCGTCGGACTCCCCAAACCGTCGGTTGTCTTCGGTATCGCTCGGCTGTTGTCGGTCTCACAGTCTTAAAATAAAGCTCGGTCTCTTTAGTAAAAAGTCTTACAAGGCAAAATTTCAATCGCTTTATGGATTAGCAATCGTCAACTGAAAGCAGGCAAAATAATCTAACTCATAAGTATTACCAAAATCCCAGTGCTGCCTCGAAAATTATTGCAAGGAAACTGGTGACGAGAATTTTGGAAAACACGGAAGAACTTCCGGTTTAGCAGTTGTGAATATTTTTTTCCCTACCAGTTCGCTTTTAAACAGGAAAACAATCCAGCTAAATGGAATGTAGTGGTTACGCTCAAAGGAGATCAGATGCAAGGAAAAAAAGGTATGATATGATGTATCGTGGCCTGGGTAATTGTCTGGAGTCAGTGTTGAAAAGGAATTTATGGACTCAAAGGGAAGTATTTGAAGGTTCTTCGAGCTCATATCGGTGGCTAGTAATCGCAGCTGATGAGGACGGTGTTGTAACCTCGCATTTCCTAAATTTCAAGTACTTTTATTGCTTTGAATCCGTTGGTGTCAGTACTTTCATTTTTCGGAATATTTTAGCCTTTACATCGAGGAGGTCGAAAGCCGATCGCTTCGTAACCAGAGCGTACAAAGAACATCTGAGTGGCAGTTTATACCTTTTACGGTAATGATTCAATGTCTGCCCGCGCCCCATACCACCCCTTCTCCTTCCCCTTCTCTAAGCCTGCGTGTGGACCACTGCTATTTCTGCAAAGAGATGAGTTATGATGAAGTCTGTAAGCAAGTTACCTTGACTTTGTTGAAGTCCTAAATGTTATAACTTTCCTAAAATGTTATAAAGTCCTAAATGTAATAACATTTGGTTCTAAATGTTACAAAGTCCTATATGTAATAACATTTGGTTCTAAACGTAATAAGCCTTCAATGCAATCGTCTAACTGCGCTAGTACATTGTTGTTACAGCGGACATTCACATTGAGATGTTTAAGTAACAGCTGTTGCATCAAAGAATCCTCTGACCAATATTCATAGCATATTGCGGGCTCGCTGATATCAATCAGCGTCTTTTTATTTACCTTGGCTCCACTAAACCCTTCCCCCCTCCCCCTCCCACACTCACTCCCATTCTCCCCTATAGAGGAAAGGGCTCGAGATTGAAATGTCACAGAAATAAGAGCTGTAAAAATTTTTTTCTCTCTGTTCACCATCAGCTTGTTGACTTATGTTAATAAAAAATACGTGTCGATGTCGTAGGTGCGGGGCAACCAACGACAACCGCCGAGGAAGAATCACAGGGGAAACTTGCGACTTCGTGGCAGTTCCAAAGGATCTCATGGGTTTTGTGATTGGCAAGAAGGGAAGTTCGATAAAGTTAATAGAGACAGAATCAGGATCAAGGATCACTTCAGACAGCGATCAGGGAGGCTTTTCAGTAAGCGGCAATGAAGGGCAACGCGCACGCGCAAAGCAACTCATCTATCAAAGAATGGTTAGTATATGATATAAGAAATTTTACCTCAGAGAGGACTATTGTTCTGAATGACGCAATTCAGATTTTTATCTCGCATAGTAAAACATTACCGCCTTCAATATGAAACCACCGCTTAACCGCTTAGGAGTGATTAGCATCTTATTTCTCCTTCCATTATCACCCCTGAATCAAACCCAGGAGGTAAAGAGAATAAAGGAAATGATCGCCAACCGGATGAGCTCTTGCTTGTTGAACAAATTATCCCCGTCGGTAAAAATGGAAAATTATAGAGAAGAGTATTGTGAAAGTGCATAATTATGCTAAGAGTGTCAAGGGTTGAAGCCGAATTCATGTATTCATGTTGAGATCTCATTGGCTATTTTGGCCACTTTGTTCTATCGCTACCCACAGTAATTTGGTCAACAGTTTTAGTTTTACCACATACACTCTTCGAGGCCCAACGTAACATGCTCTATTTTAAAATTTTCTTTCAAAGGAGGAAGCCCAGACTAAACGTGGGAGGAAGGGATATCCCCGACAACTTGTGAAAATTCCGAGTGCATTTGAGAAACACGTGAAAGGAAAGGGAGGAGATAATCTTCGTAATATTTGCACAGTGACTGGAGCACAAGTATTTCCTCGAGGGAATAAGCTCTTTGAACTGAAAGGAACAGAGAAAGAAGTCCAGCATGCTGAGTTACTGATGAAGCGAAGAGTGGTATGTACTTATTAATTTATTTTGCATAAGAAATTGTTACACCTTGGTAACAGAACAACTATGTAAATATGGTTCATCAGCAAAGCAACAAACAGTAAAAACCTTGCTTACACCTGAAGCTCTTGAATTCCACGGAAATTGTAGCCCCATTTTCTCAGCTTGGTCCTCACTGCGCGTGTCAAAACAAATGGTTGATCTAGCATTAAGGAACTAGAGCACAAACGATTTTAGAAGCAATTTTTTTCTTTCCTTTTTCATGCACAGGCCTCAGCGAGGATCAAACCAGACAAGATGTGCTGTTACATTGACGACAGGAATCTATCGAAGGGTTGTGAACTACAGCTCGTGCCAGTTGAAGACGAAGACCGCATGGTGTTGCCAGGATCACATTCACAGTATCGGCTGAAACCGTTGGAGGAATACGAATTGGTTTGTTAGTTTTTCTGTTCGTGTTTTTGTCAAGACACGCATGAAGTACTGCAGAGTGTATTTTCAATTATATTTGCTTCTTCTTGAAACTGAGCTGAACATATTAAGTTCCAAGTAAGACTCAGACATTGTAGTAGCCTAACAATAAAAATATGTCATCTAACAATGCAATAACTTATGGCGGGAGATATTTGATTCAGTGATCCACGGTCATTAAATAAAATTTCGGATCGAACTCAGTACCGAAGCAACTGCGTACCTACCCCTCCCCTAACCCGACATTAACCCTAACTTTTTATCAGTTGACTGTTGATGGGTCAGGGAAGGGGTAAGAGCACAGTTGCTCAGATGCTGACATTGATCCTGAATTTCTGTGAGTTTTCATTAATTTTTTCCAGTTGATCGCTATCTTTTCAGTTTCGTGGAGCATGTAGTCGAGGCAAAACAGTTCCAAGCTATCAAAACGACCTCATAGCAAATGCACTTGAGTGTCTAAACAAGATCAAACGTGGAATTGAGTCAAACAAATTTCACGAAGCCGACATGTGGTGTCACGTTGGGACCGTTATCATCCGAGAGCCTGATGAAGGTGAGAACTAAATGACAAAACAGAATAAGTAAGACTTAATTTAAGTATCCATTTTCATGACAGTATCAGCTGTGATCAGTGTAAACGTATAGTAAACCAAGACGCTGTATGACGAGACACGTGACGTGTTGTAAACGAACCATAGAGTGCAATACATCGAGCGTTCCTCTTGCGACTGACTGCTTATCCAAAAAACCCCTTTCCTCCGTTAACACACAAGTCAGTTTCTCATTAAGACCCTGAATCATCCCCAGTCTTCTTTTGAGTTAGATAAAAAGCCGCAACGTCGCTCGAGTTAGCACCAGTACGACAAAGTAGAGGTTTCCCCTCATGCACCCCACGTGTGCCTCCCTTGTTATTAAAAGTAGAGAGGCGATTAGAAACGAACAAGACTCAGGCCTATAGGAAATTCGCGGGAAGATCAATGAAGCAAAGGAAAACATGGTCACAAGCTCAGATTTTTTGGAAAATTTACCACGCCTCTTTGTTGTCTGTAACTCTTTGTTTTACGTGATCTTAAGTAACCACTAACTAAATATTAACAGCGGATGTTGGAGAAACATGGGATATTCAGGAGGCGGTTGACAAGCTCAAGAAAAGGGATTGGCGCCTTGCGTTCAAGGAAGGTGTGCTAATCAGCAAACACTTGTTACAGGAGACGTTTGGTTCACCAAAGACTGACGAGGATTACACGTCAAGATACGATCTAACTTTCATTACACCTCAAGGCAGATCACTAAGATGCAAGGTAAGTTGACTGGAAGAACGAGTTGTCCCAAGGTGTATCGGATACGTTACGCGGCTAAATTTTCTGCTCTAAACATATTTTCTATTTGTGACTCTTCTTTGATAAACTTGTAATTTAGATTGCTTGAACCTTAAGGGCGCCTTGACTTGAGGCAAGGTCCACCTCGCAGGTAAGGCGTCACTGGACAACGCACGGATGAGGAATGGTCTAACAGAGGCAAATAAAACTTCACTAATAATGGCAGATTGAAATTGTTAAGCCACTTGATGATAACAGCCCTTCTTGCTCCTATTAGGTGTGGGTTGCTAACCAAGATGTGCAAGCAAAACTCGAAGAAATTCCAATTCCATTCAGTGACATCAAACATGTCGTGGAAGAACTTCATTTCGATGATGAATTGACAAGATCACGATGTCGAGGATGGTTGGTTCTGCCATCGAAAAAATATCTCCAGGCCGATATAATTTTTCCCGGCTGCCAAGTCGATTGCAGACTCATGATAAGGCCTAAAACAAGTGAGTTTTATGATTTCTTTGTCCTCTTGATGATGTGTTAATTCTTTTGGTTAACTATTCATCTCGACAGCAATAGGGACAATTTAAAGAAACTTTTGACACAGGAAAAGTCGACAAATGATAACTACATTTTTCTTTCCAACCCCAATAAACATTTGTTAGATCAAGAAGGCCACGGGACGGAAGCTGCCTCTTCCGTCCAATTTCAACGAATAAGTTTCTCGGTGGAGTGCCATAAGCTCGATCCATTTTTGAAAAAAAATATATTTTAGTTACAGCCATTGAATTACATAACAGCGGAGATGAAGAGGTGCAAGCAAAGGTATTAGCTGATTTTCTGTCCAGGAAGTTAACATTTACAGTACCTGATGGATTGCATGTGCCTAAAGAAGAGCTACCGGCGGGATTTTTATTCAACCATATGCGCTGCTCCCGTCGAACATTGTATGAACCACGGGAGGGGTTCACTTTGATAATTTCTGAAGAAAGCACTTGGTGTAGTGACGTCAGAGGGGAACAGAACAGAGAAACAGTAAGAACTAGTTATAGAAATATTCCTTGCTTGATGTTCAATATTGTCACAGGGAAACCATAAGGTCGAAATCGCCAATGCTCAGAGCCCGGAATGCATTGATGTTTCTGTTCCTCGGGAACATCAAGTGGCCCCTTTTCCCATAAACCCTTTCACTCCCAAGGTCTCATTAGTAATCATCCTTAGGGACCGGTCATTCTTCATCGCTTGAAAGAGGGGTGGGAGGTTTTGATTTAGTCGCAAGAAAACTTGCCTGTTTTCCCATAATACTCTGTAATATTCTTCTGATCGTCCTCCTCGGCCGTTATAAGCAGTCAATTCTCTATAGTCCTCTTTCTATACTTTATTGAAAAATCATGTGAAACCCCTCCCACAAAAAATCCACCAACTTTCCCCCCCCCCTTAACCAGGCGATAAACAATGGCTAGTCCCTTACTGTTATACAATTCTTAAAATCCTCTAATTGATATTTTCTTTATTCTCATCACTTGTCTGCTTGATATTGTATAGATTTTGTGAGGAGAAATTCTGTCTTGGTCACTCATGGGAGTTAACCCTTTAACTCCCATGAGTGACCAAGAGAACTTATCCTCACAACATCAGTACAGTATCAAGCAGAGAAAATTTATGAGAATAAAGCAGAATATAGTTTAGGGGACCTTAAGTTGATCCAATACTTAATTCTTCCAAGTAATATCAAGAGATTGTATGGCAAACAGTAAGAAGAATTACTAGTTAGATCGTGGGAGTGAACATATTCAAATCCAAGAAGTGTCCATTTCTGCTTAACAATGATGACTTAGAATTAAGAATTTCCTTGAGTAGTTGTAAGATATTTTGATACGCTTTTGTCGTTTCACGTATTTGCTTGCTTTTAGACTGATCTCCACCTTGGCCGGGAAGAGTGGGACCGAGCTCTCAGTGGTAAAGATTGGGAACCGGAAATGATCACCTCCAAACTGCCCGAGTTTCTCCAGTTTGTCTATCAGGTTCAAGATTTTCTAACAACGAGTAACTGCAATAGCAGAGGATGAGCTTTGGGAAAGGTGGAAGAACTTCCAGCCTTAAGAGCTCTAAAGTTCTCTTTCAGCTCAGTTATGTGCTACTTTCTATATCAACTTTTTAAAGGAGAAAAAAAGTACGAATAAATGACAAGTCTTGGTTATGCTCACGGTGGAGCAGAAGAAGTTTTAACCTTAATTAAACAATTTTTTTATTGAGCGAATCCAGTCATGAAACTTCGAGAGCAAATCATTCCATAACTTTTTGCCCGCGGGACGGCGTTCATTGTGTCCATCACAACGAATTGCAAATTCATCCCTTTCTTTTTCAAATTTTGAATTTTTGATACGTTTATCTGCTTATTTCCTTATGTTTTTTGCTTTTTGGGGGGAGTTTTAGCTTTTTCAAAAAAGTCAAAAATTAATAAACAAAACTTTGTTTCAATACTTAGTTGTTACGATAGTTGCTCTTTGTCCTTTCCGTAAAGCAGCTTAAACCTGTTTTGTCTTCGAACTGTTGGATGCGAAAGGAGTTCTACCAAAGACGAACTATTTCTTCTTAAAAAGGTTTGGGGATATATAGGGGATACCGGGAGTGCTGTAACCAAACCTTTTAAGAGTATTCTTTAACGTTCAACTGAAAAATCCTTGATATATTTTTGCACAAGTCCTAAGAATCTCCATGACATAACGCAATTAACAATGTATACGAGCCTGCTTAGACACATGGGAGGAGCATCAGCCATTTCACGCAAAGTGCGACAAAATACGCAAATATAAACCCGCCCTCCCCCTCCTTCGCCTATGGAAAAATCCGAGATAAGAGAATGGCGTACCGTCATAGGTAAAGAGGATATCATTAAAAATGTTTGGATTCTTGACTCTCAAGTAAACTTTCGAATTAATGATTTTGATTTTGTCTTAAATCAAAACTGCATGACTCAAGCATTAACACCTTTCATCGCGATAGCAGCCAAATCCAACCCGTAAAAATTCCTTTGTAGGACGTCTTAGGAAAGGGTGTAATTTGCATCTTTACTAACAATAGTCAATTGTTTAAGGAAATGTCTATCGTCAGTTTTTAAATGAAAGAGGGCGAGCAATTCAACATTTTTCAAAATGATAGGTCACGAGTATTAGATTTCTCAGGTTAGGAATCATTACGGTTAATTTTAGAAAACAAAACAACGATCTTGAGGTGTCTGCAGTTAATGTCGTCGGGAAATCCGTTGGGTAAATATTTTTTTTTTTTTTGCGGCGATGGACGGGAAAATGAGGTTGGTGTTCGTCTTTTGAATTTAATACTTGGTTTGAACATTGACCAATATACATTTAGAGGTTTGAAGAGAAGTTCTATAAAATTTACTTTTAAAATCACATTTTTGTTTCATGTACCATGTTCGGTGCATGAAAGCGAATGACTGATTATCCATGACAAAGCAGGAAAACTTAACGACTAGTAACACCGTCGGCGCACTTGTTCCGAATCGCACAAAGCGATCAAATAAACGGCATCTCATGCTTACACTTGTACACCTCCTCTCTATAATGATTGCATGTTCATGGCAAAAATATTTAATCAGCCTAGCCTCTAAGGCACCCATGTTTTTTGTCGCTGTTTGTTCTAAAATGATAAGGTTGCTCTCTGATTTTTCATCTTTGCCTATGATAGAACATTGTGAGTTTTGTTCAAGAACATAAAGTTGCCATTTTAGCGCATTTCAAATATGCATTTGAGTTTAACATTCAAAATATTGCACATGCAGCGCAAAACACAGCATAATTCCGGTAAAAAATCTCTTTGACTCCCATCAACAAATCCTCTGTGGCTGAACTGTTTATGTGAGTTAAATTGAGAATTTGTAATCTCTTGTAAGTGGGCTTTGAACCGATTATTGTTTGCTAACGCAAATATCTTCAAACTACAGTTCCTTCTCCTGTGCACAGTTCACTGCCTAGTAGATATAAGGAGACTCGGGAGGTGAGGGGGTGTAGAATCCCTTGAACAAAATAGTTACAGGCAGGGGAGGGAGGGCTTCTGTAAGTTTCTAGGGACACTCCAGGTTCTGATTGAGATCCTTGTAAACAGAATGTGCAAGAGAAATTTTGGTGGATTTCATTGCCGTCGCAATCGTCGCCCTTTTTTTTCTTTTCGTACTTTATGGACTCACAGTTGAGTCATATGCCTTTAATTTCCGAATGTAAAAACAAATGTGCACAGAGCTTTGCTTTGAACACAGTGCCCGAGACAGAGGCTATCAGGATTGGACTGGAATCGGAAACTTTGATCTAACATACCTTTTCACAGTCTACACATTCTTAAAAAAATTTAACCGCAATTTTTTCTGACAAGGAGTTTAAAATCTAAGTTAGTGCGCCAGACTTTTAAACCTCACCATTGATACATCAAAATTAAAAAAGAAAAACTCTGTGTGAGACAAGATGATCGTGATAACTGATAGGATTTTTGTTATCTTTTCTTCTTGAACTAAATTAGGCAAAGACAAAAAGATACTAACGAAGAGCATTCTACTACGTTCTTTTCAAAAACAAAACAAAATATCTGCAAAATATCAAAATATCTGCTTTCATTCACGTTAACAATTTTTCCGACAATAAACTGAATTGATGCGCTCTTTGTATCTGTCTTCTTACACTACTGGACACTCAATTTGCGAACGAAAAGCGTGCATTTATGAAACGGGCAAATAACACGATATTTGACCTCGTGCGCGGTAAATATCGATGAAGGCCACCTTGAAGTCTTTAAAATCACTGCCTTTCCCGAAAGTAACGAAGTGGAACACGAGATCCACTGACATGGAATACAGGTGCGGAGAGGTTGATTGATGTCCTGTCAGTAATATTGGATTATTGCCTCATCACTGACACACAAACAAATTTTAGCTTGAGGAGAATATAACCTCAGTTCTTTAAATTCGGAAACATCTTTAAGATAAGACCTATTTATATATAACTAAATTCTTCTTATTTCTCAGTAAAAGACACTTTATATTCCCGATTCAAATTTGCAAATGTAACTTAAACATCCAGATTTTTGGTCAAATCTGATCGAGAAAATTTAAGGATCACAGGTCAATTTTCAGATTGCTTGTTGCTCTCACATGGTTTCCCCAAATTTGTCTAATTTGGCGTTATCTGCACAAGGCTGACAAATTTTGTCAAAATGTGATGAGTCTATCGTATCAAATTCAGGAATTTTGTTTTTAATCAATGTCGTGTCATTCTACTTCGTGGCATTGGGAGGCAGAGCTTTCTGTTTGAGTTAATAACCGGCCTCCAATGTCAGATTTAAATCGAAGGGAAAAAATCAGACGGGCGAGATAAATCAAACTACCTAGGAGTGAAGGTAAATAAAGGAATATTGACCTCCGCATCATATCATATCTCTCTTTTGGGTGCTTTTACAAATTCTTCCAACTGATCTTAGTTGCATTGATTAAAGGTGATTTTATTCGGTAGTGAACAGGAGCTTCGATCGTTAGCTAAGTTACCGTCATTAGAGGAATTGCATTGAAGCATAATTGAATCCTAACGTAGTTTAGCTCATGCATTTGCCGGACAAAGCATCTCAAAGTTTCTCGAGTTTATTCTTTAATAATGATTCATAAGTAATATTAAGATTCACTCGCGTATGAAAATGAATTATCAGTCTAGTGATAACTCTCTTTGACCAAAGTGGCTCAAACGTTTTCTGAAGAAACTTAAGCCTAAAGCTTGTTGCTTTGTTCCACTGAGATAAACTTTGGTCTCTTGATGATTTTAAGTGTGCAGTCCACAATTTATGGGTGTCAAATCTTTCATAGGATACTGTATCTCTTGATCAAGTGGGTTGCAGGGTCAATTTAATGTAGATAATAATCGTAATGAGATCATAAGAACAGGTCGTCGAAAGTCTGAGGGGGCCTAGGACAGCCACCTGAGTTGATCAGCTGAAGTCACGATTACACACGCTGGCCCGTTATCAACCCCTGACTAAAATTTTATCGCCTAAAATCCGAAAGGAGGATCACATCATTGAGACGTTCGTGGCTTTGTGTAGCCAGCTGCCGAAATCGACAGTAAAAATCATCATCAGAAATGATAAATCGACGTCATTTTCAGATCTGTCAAAGAGGGATTTGTTGAATACTTCCATTTCTTCCTTTCAGTGAGCCGAAGTAATGTAGTCTCACTTACTGTATTCTCCTCCACTATATACTGAGAGAAAAAGTATCTCGTGACTTTTGCTTCAAAAGTCAATATGGGATCACATGCACGCAGTGGAAAATTCTTCTCATAACGTTTTGTCCTGTAATCTGCACTCAGTAAAATATCAATTGTTGAACACATGCAAAAAGAAAAATGCTGACTCAAGATACTAGTAGAGCCAAATGATAGGATACCCTTCACAAATCATATTATTGAAATAGTGTATGCTTTGTTACTGGGCCTATTCGTTCCTATCATTTCAGTCCAAGTTTTAGGCTTGATAATCTCTGAATCATCATGGGTTTCTCGGTAATGGCACATGCACGTTTCAAAAATTTTGCCATAAAAAGGGATTCTTTTTCGAAGACACCTTCAGTTTGGAAGAAGATATTATTCATGGACTGAAAATTAGTTCATTCTGAAAGTTCCACGCTAATAACTCAGGATGATTTAAAAAGATTGGAATGAATAAATATAAACGCTATGCTTGGTTGCTCTAATCACGTCGAACCTTGTTGTACGTTGATAAATGCCTAACTCTGACATGCCATTATCATACGCAGAAGTGCTCTGCAAAAGAGATGACAAGACACAGCAAAATTATCAAGAAAATCCAGGCAGAAAGTAATGACACTTATTTCATTCATCACAGCACGATGTCTACGGCATCATCAGAGTTTGTTATCAGCTGGTTTCATCTTTCTTTGTTTTATAAAAGATCTATCCCAAAACACACAAAATGCTGAACCGTTACCTTATCTTTATTACAACACCCCTCGGTGGATGAAAATCTTAGAATTTTAAGGCAGGTGTCTCACTTTGCTCTCAAAATACAGCAGGATAAACCATCTTTGAAAAAGTTCAGTTGAAGAAAGTACTGGTCGCTAACATCACAGATCAAGTTCCTTATAGGAGGTAAACAGACGTAATGATGTATCAATCTTTTGAGAATGCTTCTCAAGTATAATCTTCCTAAAATGTGTTTGGAATGTGATGTTCAACAGCAAGAAATGCTCAAGATCGTTCTGTTTGTTAGTTAATCCTCGGGTATAAAAAAAAGAGGCACAGCAGTGTACAACCCGTATGAAGTTGAAACCATCACAATCGACTCGGGTAAAGTTTTATCGAAACGTGATTAGTGTTTGCGCAATTATCTAAGATACAACCTGCATGA